GTGGCAGCAGAACACGGGCTACATAGCCGCTCTCTTCCCGCCTCTTCAATAGCAAATTTCAAGGCTGAAGTGAGGCAGTCAAGATGTACATGCCAAGGTCTCCGCCCCAGAGGCAAATGCTACATTGTGAAATGGCCCATTGTAGCAAGAATAACATCAACCCAGAGAATCCAAAGTATGAGCATCCTTTCTCAGCCTTGAAGTCAAGGGCAGTAAAGACCTCAAGTTTTCTCTCACAAAATCTATTGCAAGATTTTAATTCCCATGCACTGCCAAGCCTGTGATCCCAGGTTGGGGTGTGAGGTGGGTGTGAGGGGACTGGGTGGGGGGTTGTCACTGATAGGGTTTGAGGCCAGCCTGGGCTGCACAGACGACTTGCAGGCTACCTAGAGTTTACACAATGACATCCTGTCTCAAAACAAAAATAAAATATTTTAATTGCAAATGTCCTTAAGGCCTGTCATGGTCAAAGACAGAACTTTCAGAGGATACCTCTGTCCCAGTTTGCAGGAAATGCTGACTTTGCCACTGCTGAGATCATGAGCTAAGGTCGCTCTGACATCAGCAGACAGCTCGTCCTCGTCACTGAGTAGAAGCCTGTGGGTTGATGATGGAGAACCTCTCCATCACACGGGATCTTGATTCTGTGACTCTATGTGCATGCTCAACACTGCACAAGCTGAGAACTATCGTCTACTGCGAAACCAGCACCGAGGACTGAGCCCAGAGTCATACCAGGCCAGACAAGCATCCCAGCACTGAGAGCCATATACCAACTCCTTCTCTCTCTCTCTCTCTCTCTCTCTCTCTCTCTCTCTGTGTGTGTGTGTGTGTGTGTGTGTGTATTTTTTTAACTTCTTATTCTGAGACAGAGTCTAACTTGCCTGTACTGGCCTTGAACTTGTAATCTTCTGCCTCAGCTTGGTTACGTGTGTGCCACTATGTCCAGTCAAAACTGGTTACTTGCTGAAATGTCCAGGATAAGACTTGGGGAGAGACCTACAAGAGTCCAGAGAGGTCTCTGGGCTGGTCTACTAGAGGATTCTATCAGCAGGTACACTGAGAGGGCGGGCTGGCAGTGAATCATTCTCTCTGGGGGCCTGTGTCATTATCTCTTTAACTCTTCAACACTCATTCTGTCGTCTAATTAAGAACAATGACTCTCACAAAACCTTGTTCTGTCTGGATACCACCCCCAACGCTGAGGATGAAACCAGGGCCTCCCACACAATAGACGAGTGTTGTAATGCTGGGCTTTCTTGTTTATTTTCAGATACTCTCATCAAATTGCCCAGGCTAGCCTCCGACTTTAGTCTTCCTGTTTCAACCACCTGGGCAGCCGGGGTTACTGGTGTTCACCACCACACCTGCCATGGAATTCTTTTTTAAATGACAAAAGTAACTTCTAACTCTCTTGGGGTGTCCAGACAACTTAAAACACACACAGCAAGCTACACACCAACGCTTAGCACAACTGTTCAGACAGCAGGCTATGGAGTGGACCCAATGTTTGCCAACCAAAAGAACCAAAAGTCTTGACAATTACAGAATGTGAAATCATTCAAAAGCAGGTCTTTAACAGATTGACAAAAGATGAACGAAGCCAACGGTGACAATCAAACCCGATTTCAGGAGTAATTACAAATCCTTATCTTGTTTGCTATTTGTTAGTTTGGAACTCAAGGGCACCAATACCTACAAAAATTGTTGCAATACCATAAATGCCATAGTCTTGAGCCAGCTGATGGCTCAGCATTCAGGAGGCTACCCCCCAAGTTGGAGGCCAACCTGGGCTACAGAGTGCATTCCAGGCTAAACAGAGCAACACAATGAAACCCTGTCTCAAAAAAAGAAAGAAAAGGGGCTGGAGAGATGGCTCAGAGGTTAAGAGCATTGCCTGCTCTTCCAAAGGTCCTGAGTTCAATTCCCAGTAAACACATGGTGGCTCACAACCATCTGTAATGGGGTCTGGCGTCCTCTTCTGGCCGGCAGGCATACACACAGACAGGATATTGTATAAGAAAGAAAGAAAGAAAGAAAGAAAGAAAGAAAGAAAGAAAGAAAGAAAGAAAGAAAGAAAGAAAGGAAGGAAGGAAGGAAGGAAGGAAGGAAAAGGAATGAAAAAAGAACAACAAAATAAGAATATACATAGCCGGGTGGTAGTGGCGCACGCCTTTAATCCCAGCACTTGGGAGCAGAGACAGGTGGATCTCTGTGAGTTCAAGGCCAGCTCTGGTCTACAAGAGCTAGTTCCAGGACAGGCTCCAAAGCTACTGAGAAACCCTGTCTCAAAAAAACAAGAAAAACAAACAAACAAAAAAAGAATATACATATACAGCAAAAATTCTCAACCAAGCACTACTGACGTTTGGAGTTATCTAACTCTCCCTTGTGGGTAGGACACTATAGGACACAGCGGGGTCCCTGGTCTCCACCCAACTAGATGAGAACAGCACCCACCTCGCAAGTATAACAACCAAAAATGTCTCTTTGCACTGCCAAATGTTCCCTACCATCTCCAATGGAGAACCACTGAGTTTGTGAAATGACAATATATTTTTAAAAAAATAAAAAACAAAAACTAGACGGCCAAAGCACTACAGACAGGGAGGGGCTCTAAGGGGTCTGAACACCAGAGATTCTCAAACTTTACGTCAGCCATTCTGGGGAGCTCGTTAAATTCTGATTCCTAGGCCCATCCCCAGGACCATCAATCTAGACAAGGACTGGGTTTTCCCTCATCACTGCCAACATCCTCACCCTATGGGAAAGGTAGCGTGGGACCCAGAACACAACGGCTTTGCCCAAGGTCACAAGGGAGTTAGGACCGGGCCTCCGCAGCCAACCAAGCTCTTCCTCGGCACAAGGGTGGATGAAGTAAAGGGTGTGTGTGTGTGTGTGTGTGTGTGTGTGTGTGTGTTTTCTCTTCCGCCTTCGAGGCCATAAAGCTTAAAGGTGCATTCTGGGGCCAGTCAGCCCGAGATAAAAGATCCCGTCTTGGTACTCATTAGCCCGGTGGCCTTGCGCAAGGCAAGTAGACTAAGTAGGCTCTGGGGTCTCAGTTTCCTTCCCTGTCATATACGCATCATTCCTAGCGATATCGGAAAGAGGACACTAAACCAAAAGCCCTCGACATAAGGCCGGGTCTACAGGACTCGCTTGCTGCGGGTCCAAGCGGGACCCACAAAGCTGAAGGGCTGAGCGGGGCTCGGGAAAGAGGCGAACCGACCCCGACTCCGCGCCGCGCACCTCACCTGGCCCCGCAGCTCCTTCTCCAGCTGCCGGTAGTCGTTGTTCCAGACCAAAAGGTGCAGCGGGAAGCGGCTGCTGGCGTCGCGGGCTGAGGACATGGCGAGGAGGCCGCGGCCCGGGCCTGACCGCCCGCCTGCCACCAGCCTCGACCCTACAGGGTCTCGGGGACCCGCCCGACTGGCCGAAGAGCGAGAGGAGGAGAGCGAGCGGGCGAGTGCGGGGCGCGGCGGGCGGGCGGCGCGGGCCTCCGAGGCCGGAGCGGGCGGCGCTGGAGGCCCGGGGTCGCGGGCCGGGCTGGGGACCGGCTCGGGGACCCGCTCGGCCGCGCCCACCCCGCGCCCCGCGCGCTCGCGCCCGCGCTGACAGTTCGCGAACCGACTGCCGCCGGCCGAACCGCTCCGAACAGGGAAGTGAGCGGGGCGTTCCACCGAGTGCCACGGAGGGGGACGGGGCCCCGCGACCGACCCGAGCCCCGCTCCATGTCCTCCCGCCGCACCCCCACGCCGAGACACACGAAGAACACAGTTCTGTGGTACCGCAGAAACCCTCCGAAAGCTAGAGATCCCCACGTGAAAAGTTTAGGGTGCGCACTCCCTAGCTCTGCCCCCCTGCTCCAGCCCTGTCCAGTGGTTCGTCCCACAACTGGGCTCCTTCCATTGGCTCAGAAGCCCGGGGGTGCGAGCCTGGACCAAACCATCTGGCTGGTGCCGTCCACGATTGGTCCGAAGCCATTTTGGATGTGGGCAACACGAAATCGTTTTCACATAACTGAACCCTGGAGAAGTGACACCAGATACCCTCATAACGGGGTAGCTGTGTCTCTAGGCTTCTACACTTTGGAATATTTGATCTGGGTGGTTCTTTGCTGCTGTGGAGGTTATGCTTTGTAGAGGTGGGCGAGCGCTGCCTATTCAATGCCATCAGCACTTTTCCCCCATATTGTCCCCAGACAGTTGTCCCCTGGAGGAGAAAAATCGCCCAGTTGAAAACCACTATTTTATCTGAATTCCCAACTCGTCTACAATTCAAAGTACTTTCCGTGAACGTTCGTCCTGCCTTAGTCTCATTAAGCTAGTCGTTCAGATTTAGGGTTGCGGCCCAAAGGACTAATAGAACATTCAGGCTGGTCTACAATATGCACAAGTAAAATCCGTCCTCTGGATTGCGACTGCAGGCACTATATCTTCTTGACACATGAAGAGCCAAGTGTTATGTCTGCCTAGATATTTACAACTGCCACGAAGTCGTCCAATGCAAGCATTCCCTCTGCCTTCTTGGTTCCGACATACATTCAGCTTTTCAGATGATTGCAACGGCCGGTCAAGAATTCTGACCAACCTAGTCCATTCTCTTCAGGTGTGATGTCCTTGAAGAATGAGTGAAGGATTAATAACTTTAAGATGGTACCTAAAAGCGTCAATGGAGGAGTGTGTGGTAACCATCAAACTTCTCATGTGAGAAATGGACGACATGACCCTTGCTTCTGGGAATGGCTAAATGAACTTAACTATATTATTATCTCCAGGAGATTTTATGTTTAGAGTTTTTATCACAAGGTTTTACTTCTTACACTGGTACTAATCAGTACTGGATCCAGGAATCACTTTAGCAAGGGAGAGCCCAACTGCGAGAGTATTTAGAGATAGGTAAAGGATGCTCGGGCCGACCTCTGCCCTCATTCAAGATGGCGATAAGGAAGCGTGCCCTTTCCGGTCACATGACCCGCCAGGCTCAGCAGGACGTCTCCCCGCGCGTGCGTAGTGCGCCGGGGCTGCTAGGCGCTGAGGGGAGAGGCGCCGTCAGCGCCGCCCGGGGACCCGTTAGAGCGGAAGCGCAGCCGCCGCCTCTGTAGTCGCGGGGTTCCCGGCAGGTGAAGCGGGAACCATGTCGAAGCGGCTCCGGAGTAGCGACGTGTGCGCCGACTGCAGCGGCCCGGGTGAGTGACGCCGGCGGGGCCCGCTCGCCTCGCCCTCGGGGCCGGGACCCCTGGCGGGGCGGTCCCCGCGGGCGGGGGGGTGACTGCGGCCCAGCCACTCCGACCCCCAGGCCGCTCGGGCGCGAGACGACCCCGAGCCTGTCAGCCGCGCCACCCGGGGGTCCCTCCCTCCCGTGGCCCGGCCGAGGGCAGAGGCGACGAGCCCGGGAGCGGACGGGACGGGACTGCAGCCCGGAAAGCCAGTGACAGGAGTCAGACGCGGGCCGCCCGAGGCTGCAGGTGTTTCCCCTTCCCGGTCCCCCGGCCTGTGAGTGTGCGCGACCGCTCGGCTGCGCTGCCCGAGGGGCCCCGAGTGGACGATTGCCCTGCGCCCGGCAGACACTCTTGGGGGACAGCCCTAGCTCGGGGTCTGAAGTTTGAGGATCTAAGTTTCCACCAGATTTCGCCTCTACATGACCTTGGACTTGATGGCTTTACTTGCTCAAACCTGATTTCCTCGTTTTTCCGACGGAAACTATCACTAGTACAGCGCGCAGTGGTCAGTGGATATTCCCTAGGGATCGTCTCTTTTGTATGATGGTACTCAGTTCAAAACCCTTGTAGTTCCTTCAGCTACAGTTTGGCTTCACAGTCGTACCACACACAGTCGCTGGCGGTGTAAACTCGGGGACATCGAACGACCAAACTGTTCTTACTGCAAATAGTATTTGGATTTGAAGATTGGACCTGACTTAGTAATTGGAACCCAATTGTCAGGTCTCAATTCAGATTTGTGTGTTTGTGTGTGTGTGTGTGTGTGTGTGTGTGTGTGTGCGCGTGCTTGTTTTGGTTCTTGGACTTGATTAACTTCAAGTTTGAAGTCACTTACATATTTGATGACTTTCCTGGTACAGTAGTGTTTAAGTGATTTTAATTAAGTCATTGAACTCCAGCCGTTTGCAGCTGTTTTTATCTTCATCTTGTCATTTAGAAGCAGAGGCTGGTTATAAATGGTGCTGCGGTAACCCTTACTTATTTCATGGTCCTGAGTACTACAGGTTAACCGTTCAGATGGAAGATAAGGACAGGCAGGGAAAGTTTTAAAAGAAGTGCTTTATACTGTTAGCCAGGTTTATACAAACTATCATTTTCTCAGCAAATGCCGTTTGTTCCGCTTCCTTCTTTTCTTGCCCGTTTTCCGTTGATTCATGTGTGTCTAACTTAAAGCTTCCTCTTGGGATGTGCGTTCTTTGCTTCTGCCGTGGAAGGTGCACAGCAAAGCAGATTGCCTCTCCTTGCCGCCTGAACGCTGCCTTGTCCGTTTGTAGCATCTCAGGGCCTTTTCTGTCGTTTGATGTTATTGTCTTGAATGCCACACTCTAACAAGACTTGAGTCACTTCCTTCCTTGAAGGCTGAATGAGCAGCTAGGAGTTTGTGCTCCCTTTGTGCACAGCGTAGGTGGAGGGTTACCTGAAGGATTAGGGCTCCTTTGAAATCTTAATGCCAAGGCCGGCTCAGAAGGTGCTCAAATACTTAACTCTTCTGGACAAAATTTGCTTAAGATGGGTGGGAGCACAGATACTTTTGAAGTCCATTTGTGGTGCTCGTGAGCCTTATTAAAAACCCTGCCTTCCAGATAAACTGGAAGGGCTTCACCCAACCTCATTCATAGAAACTTAACTTTCAGTTTGTTATTGTTGTTGTTGTCAGTATCCTTTCCTTGGGATTCTGATCCATGGTGTTTAAGTGGTTATTTGAGACCATTGCTTAATGCCTGTTAAGCCATTGTTCTCCTTTTCCTGACTGATTTGCCCAGGAGTACTTTGAGCCTCTGATAATGAAAAGCGAAGCCACACGTCTAGTCTTAATACTACCAGATCAATGCAGACCGTGACGTTGCAGTGCGTCTGCGCAGAGCCTTCATGCTTCCCACCGCTCCTTAGAATGGCATAGTAGCACCTATGGTTAAGCCTCCTGGATTCCCTTCTGTTTTGCTTTAGAGAAGACACTTCACTATGATTATGTCTTGTTTACCTTTGTGGCGCTGGGGCCAAAGCCAGGACCTCCCAGTTCCTAGGAGAGTCACATGCCCAGTCCTGATTTGTTTGTTTTTAATGAATCTAGTTCATTTAAAATGCATCATTCCTGTGCCCCCATGACAGACACTTTACTTATTCTTATTTTTTACATTGTCTCTCTCTTCTCCCACTGTGAAGACACTCAGAGAAGTAATTTACCTCACATTATTGCGCAAGAAGTGGCAGCAGAGTTGGGATTCAAACCATGGACTGTTCGTCCCCATAACCAACCCTCTAACCACTGTGTTCTGTGGCTCCCAGGATTTGTCTTTGATACCCCATAACTTTTCATTATAAGATTCGAAAGGGTTAGAATAAACTGTTAAAAATGGTAAACATGACATATATGCATTTCGGAGATTTTTGTGGATGTTGAAGAATTTTAAAATGTAACCCTTAGGCCATGCAGCTGGAGTAAGTAGCACCTATTGTCACCCCACCCCACTGTGAGTCTGATGGGATGAGAAAGGCCTATCTTTATTTGGGATTTCTAAGGCTCAAATTACTTGCCCAGATCCATCCTGCTCACCTAGTGTAAATTATTCCACTTCTGAAAAGTTGTCTGATGAAGTTCTGTGGATTCCAAAGGAAAAAAAGTATTGTACTCAATGAGAAATCTTATTCATTTTGGTTTACCTCTTTATATCTGTGAGGCACCTTCCTTCAAGTCAGCTGCAAGACTGGATCCAGCAGGTTTTCTAAAGCAACTGGTATTGGCATAGAGCATTGCCTTAGCAGAGTGGGCACCCCTCCTGCCCTCGGAGAAGAGCTGAGTGCTTCTGCAGGTCTCTTCTAACTTTCTGTTAGCATGTGGGACTTGACTTCCTGCACTGGGCAACAGTCACCTCACTGTTTACCTTAGATACTGTTACTTGGATAATGCACTGTCAAGATCATGTAGTCTTATTTACAAAGATGGACTCAAAATGATTCATCAAGCTGAAGATGGAACTCTGATAGAGCACTAGCTCAGCATGGACGAGGCCCCAGGTTCAGCCCGACAAGGAAACAGTGGCATGATCTACCCAGCTCCTTCATTCTGCTTCCTTAACTAACATTGCACAGAGCACATGTGGTAAGCCCACGTTCAGGCTAGAGACTGGCCCACACAGGAAGGCAGATGCATGTGTAAGGCTCTTAATTCAGTCAACCTGATCTGTCTCGGTGGGGAGCATCCTCAGCTGGTCCCTCCGCTTCAGATGTTGAGGAGCATGTAAAACAACAAAAACATTTGTTTTTTTCCCCTTAAAAACCAAACATCAGCCATCTTTTACTATCCAACCAATTAGCGTCTTTGCCACTGAGGTGTTGTTCTTTTTCCAGATCCTTCCTGGGCATCAGTAAATAGGGGAACTTTTATATGTGATGAGTGTTGCAGTGTTCATCGGAGTCTAGGGCGCCATATCTCCCAAGTAAGGCATCTTAAACACACACCATGGCCTCCAACACTGCTTCAGGTAAATGATAAGAAAATTTTTCATAATTAGAAATTTGTGTTTTAGGGATTGTTATTTTAGCAACTAAAAGATGTAATATATACCTTAAATCCTATAAGAATATTTGGATCATAATTGGATAAAATGTTGTGCTCTTCATTTCTGTGTATAGTATACAATATTGTCTTGTATTGACGTCATTATCTAGTCTTTCCTTGCTCACCTTACATAATCTTGCTTCCCCAGAAGCAGTTATACATAGACAGATATATCAACAAAATGTATCAATAAATGTCTAAATTTCTTATTAAGTTTTCACTGCTTACTTTCTAGATTGTCACCAGAAATTGTTTTGTTTTGTTTGAGACAAGAGTCTCACTATGTAGCCATGGCTGGTCTTGAACCCACGGATCTCCACTTGCCTCTGTTTCCTAAATGCTAAAATTAAAGATATGCACCACCATGCCTAACATCAGAAATTATTTTATTGTTTAATTTTTAGTTAAGTATTTATTTTATTTATTGATTTATTTGGTTTTTCAGGACAGGGTTTCTCCGTATAACTTTGGAGCCTGTCCTGGAACTTGCTCTGTAGACCAGGCTGGCCTCAGACTCACAGAGATCTGCCTGTCTCTATCTCCAGTGCTGGGATTAAAGGCGTGTGCCACCATCCAGCTCAGAAATTATTTTATAATTAATTATTTTTAATGCATTGGTGTTTTGCCTGCATGTATGTTTGTATGAGGGTGTCAGAATCCCCTAGAACTGGAGTTACAGACAGTTGTGAACTGCATGTGAGTGCTGGAAATTGAACCTGGTTACTTTGGAAGAGCAACCAGTGCTTTTTACCACTGAGCCATTTATCCAGCCCCCAGAAATTTTTATTTTTTAACCTTTTATTAAATTTACTTATTTTATAAGTATCTTTCCTGCATGTATGTATGTGCCCACAGAGGCCAGAAGAGGGCACAGGATGTCCTAAAACTGGAGTTACAGATGTTTGTGAATATGTAGGTTCTGGGACTCAAACCTAGGTCTGCAAGAACCACAAGTGCTTGTTTCGAACACTGAGCCACCCCTCTAGGCCGTAGCAGTTATCTTTAAAAGGTTTCTCTTTCCTGTAGACTGTGATGAATGATCCTAAAAGCCACTGCTGAGAAGCTTTTCATTAACTTGCAATCCCTGAGTACCTGCTCACATTTGTAGACCATTTTTTCCTGCTTTGATAGAAGTGTAGACTCGGTTTCCTCAGAAATCGCTTCAGCATCTGAGGTATTTTTAAAGCCCTCACTGCCAGGCAGAGACTAAGTGAGCATGTTTTGATTGCATGCCTAACGCTTGTCGGAGGCGGTCTTTGTCTTATTTGAGATCCAATGTCATGTTCCTTGTACTTTTATTTGAGGTACACATTCTTCAGTTCTTCTGAAACTTGGGGCATGCATTGTAGGTAGAGTTTTCCGCTGGGACATTTGCACAGTGTACAGAAGTAGGCTTTCCCTGATATTTGTCTTAATCCACATCTCACTAAATCTGCAACAGCTGCACACCGTGCTCCTTAAGCTTGTATGAACCAAGGTACCAAAGCAAGTGTTTTGGGTTACTGGTAAGAGATGCCCATGAGCTGCACAAGCAGACAGACCTTCCTGGGAGTCCTGTTTGGTAATGAAGTTGAGATGTTCGTTAAGACATTCTACTTAAGCTAGGCAGTGGTGATGCATGCCTTTAATCCCAGCACTCAGGAGGTGAGTTTCAAGACAGCCAGGGCTACACAGAGAAACCCTGTCTCCAAAAAAACAAAACAACCAAACAAAAAAGTTGTACTTAGAAATTCCCAAGGGGCCATTCTCACGTGAAAGGAGTGTGCTACTCCCAGGTCTGTTTTTGTTTACAGTTTTAGAGTTTACACGGTACAGAGGTGAGGAGAAACTAGGGCTGACACTAAGGCATCAGATTTTGAAGGGTGGGACATGACTCACAATGGAACATGAGAGAAAGAAAGAACATTCAAACATTTGTTTATTGTGTTATTTAAGTATGCATAAGAAAACTAACATGATTAATAAAAATTTTAAATAGGTGTATTTAATGAGAGATATCAAGTGAATAGTGTGTACGTGGGTAAATATTATTTGTTCAGGCAGGCAAATGCCATCCTAAAGAGTCAGTCACTTCTCCTTCAGTTTGTAATGTAAGTACGTACAGACTATCCTACAAGCAGAGTGGAATCCTACCTCCCTCAAGTTCCTCAGTCTCACTCCACAATCAGAGACAGCAATGAGCGCTACATAGACGTGGTAGTGTTTTTAACAGAGCATTATTTTTCCATTTTTTCCACTGATTCTTTTGGAATATTTGAGGAAATAAAATAAATATCTCATACTGCTTGGTTTCAGATGGTTGAGACTTTGTATAACAATGGTGCTAATTCTATATGGGAGCATTCTTTGCTGGACCCCGCGTCTATTATGAGTGGAAGACGGAAAGCTAATCCACAGGATAAAGTGCAGTGAGTGCAATGTTTCTGACTATTTCTATTTCTTCACAACAAGTGGCCCTGCTGGAAGAATGTGGCTATTATGATCAGCCTTGCGCCTGGGGCATTTGCTGTTAGAAAGGCAGAGTGAGGTACGGGGCCATTGCTTGCCTAGTTACCCAACTGAACAAAATGATTTCTCCAGTCGGAGACCAGGGCTTGGTGACTAGTTGTGATCAGAACTAGTGGCATTCAGACCAGAAATCTGGCTCCCTGCAGCAGTGTTCTGCCCAGTGCCTCACCTATTAACACAGGACTAACTGCTGCTTCCTCCTGAGGCTCCGTCCGTTGTGAAGGAAGTTAGAAAGGGAAGAAAGACGCTACAAAAAGTGGCGTTCTGTAACATGTTTTCAGATAAGGTCTTCAGCACTGCTGAAATGTATTCTCAAGTGGGGGGTTTGGTCACTTCCTCTTCTTACAGTACAAAGAGTGAGAAATGTGTCTGAACTGCAAGTGAACTGTTTTCTTTTTTGTTTTCAAACCAGCCCCAATAAAGCAGAATTCATCAGAGCCAAATATCAGATGTTAGCGTTTGTCCACCGATTGCCCTGCCGTGACGATGACAGTGTGACTGCCAAAGATCTTAGTAAGGTAGGTGCACTCTTTCCGAAAGTCCCTGGGGAGCCCACTGAGACAGTGGCTGCCTTACTTGTGGTAGTACCAGGAGGGAGAGACCAGTCTCTTTATACAGTTAAAGTTCCGGCGGCTTTCTAATGCAGTCTTCTTTTTTCTCTGAAGCGGTTAGTCCTCCTCCTAGACATTCTAGACAAAGGAAAGTAAATGTCTCAGAAGCAGCAGTTTTCCTCTTTTTGTAAGGTTTTTAATTAAGTAATTAATTTGTGTTTTTCAGTACAGTTTTCACATATATAATTTGTAAGTTCCCTATTTGGAAATAAAAGCCATTTCAAAGGAGTGAATAACCATTTCTAAAAGGGCCTAGGATGTTTTCAGGATGCTTGTTTCTAAAAGATTAGAATGGCAAGGAGAGGAGGTAGAGCTTGAGAAGTGAGTAGAGCTCCTGCGTGCAGGGCTGTTGGCTGGCGAACGGGCACTTTCCCTGGGCCTTGGCGGTTCTGAGATGCTGTAGAAATGTTCATCTTGAGTTTCAGAGCAGTGCTTTGAGCTAGATGCTCACTCAACAACATTGTGCAATCCACAGTACTAATTTTTACATAGACATAGATATAATTTTCCTACTCATTAATAAGTTTTAAACAGTTTCTCTCCTTTTTTACCAAATAAAAAATATAGCCAAGTCTGGTGGCATGTACCTTTACTCCCTGGCTTTTGGGAGGCAGAGGCTGGGAGATAGCTGGGAATTCAAGGCTGACCTGGTCTATAGTGAGTTCGAGGCCAGCCAGAACTACATAGTAAGACCTTGTATGAAAGTGTGTGATGACGACGACTACCCATATCAGATGATTCACAACCACCTGTAGCTCTAACTCCAGGGTATCTGACACCCTCTTCTGGCATCTCTGGGTACCTGTACTCAATGTGCATACACACACACACACACATACACACACACACAAACATACATATGTATGTACATACATACAATTAAAGAATTAAAAAAAAACTGACTACATTGGTTTCTCTGTTACTGTGGTGCCTGTTACTACATTTGGAACAGTTCTAGATTAAACTTGAAAGAAAGCGGCTTGTTCTCTACTTGTTTAAAAGCCTTTCTGTCATAATAAGGAATTAACATAGTACAGTGTCAGTATTTCCCACCAAGAACAGCTTGTGGGAGCATTGTATGGAGAGGTGGGCAACTCACATTGACAGTGGGTGGTGTAAGGCAGCTGGGATCAGCAGCTAATAATCACTAGTGTAGCCGTGTCTGAGTTTTGAAGCATTTTCTGTATCACTGATTCCTCACAATAACCCCATTGGCAGATGGCACCAAGATACTCAGGTTCTGCTGCCCAGAGTTCTCCTCAGATCACACAGTTGGAAGGCAGTAGGCCTTGAAATCCATTCCACTCAATAGCAGAGCCTCCTTTTCAAGTGCTTCCCACTTGGGTTATAGTTGGACCCTACCTGGCAAGCCCTGCATCTGGGCAGACTGGGCTTCGCAGTTCTAGTTCCTTGTGGGTAAAATGGGCAAGACTCACCTGCAGCCTACAGCCATTGTGAACAGCAGAGACTCCCCGTTTTCCTGAGCCAAATAAAGATCTGTTACTAATAGAGAGTGCATTAAAATGTGTCACCAGCTGCTCCAGCACATCACTCCTAACACTTTTACACCTACTCTTTCTGTGTTTGTTTTTCAGCAACTCCATTCAAGTGTGAGAACAGGGAACCTTGAGACCTGTCTGAGACTGCTATCTCTAGGAGCCCAAGCCAACTTCTTTCATCCTGTACGGAAACGTCAATTGGTTCAGATAATAGATTGAAACTGAGTTGTATTTGAATAGGCTGTTTACTTAGTTTTCTTTTCTTTTTTTGTGTTTACTTTTATTAATAATTCTTAGGAAAAAGGCAGCACTCCACTCCATGTCGCCTCCAAAGCAGGACAGATTTTACAGGCTGAATTATTGGCAGTATATGGAGCTGACCCAGGCACACAAGATTCTAGTGGAAAGACTCCTGTTGATTATGCAAGGTGAGGGTGTGTGCTGAGTATGATTCCTTGCTGAGTGACTGAATTGTATCTGACTTGTGTTCAGCGCCCTTAGAGGTTTATATTATTTTATGGAAGAAGGCATTTCAGCATCAGCTGAGACAGGCAAGACGAGGCAATCTAGAATCATAAACTGGTGTACTTAACTTCCAGTCTTTGTAACAAAGTAGTGTTCAAGCCATAGCATACAAAACAGGTATCAAGAATTGAGAGTCGGGCTGGCTGGAGAGTTTACTCAGTGGTTGAGATCAACAGCTACTCTTGCAGAGGACTAGGGTTCAGGGTTCAGATTCCAGCACCACATAGTCCCTCATCCATAACTCCAGTTCTGTGGATTCCAACACCCTCTTCTGGCCTCCAAGGGTACCAGGCACACATGAAATGCACTTACATGCACATAAAAATAAATAAATCTTAATTTTAAAAATTAAATAAAAGAATTAGAGTGAAGACTGGAGAAATGGCTCAATGAGTGACATGCTTGCCTGTAAGCACGAGGAACGAAATAGGGCTAGAAACATGGCACAAGGCTGGAGCGCTGGAGTTGGGGTCAAATACAAAACCCACTCTTCAAGTTTTAAATGCGTCTTTAAATTTTTCCTGTTGTGGTTTTGTTTTGAAGCAGATACTCACTATGTTGCCCGGGCAGATCTTGAACTTCTGAACTTAGACAAACTTCTTACTATGTGCCTCTAGTATCTGGGACTACAGGCATGACACCATGCCCTGCTACAACTGAAATGCAGGGGCAAGAAGGAACTTCCTGGGGTTCAATGAGTCTATTTAAACCTGCAGGTCTGGGTGATAGAAGATGGATGTCTTTCCTTCTTTTTCCAGATTTACCAACTATGAAACACCTTGTTCACAAAGAAGTAAACAGGGGAAATGACAAAAATCTGTCCCAGGAACCTAACTTGACATCTCCGGAAGAGATGATTAGTAAATGCTGAAGGAATTAGGCAAAATTACATAGGAATTGTCGACAAAATGGACAATTAGCCCCATTTTGTTTTGTTTTGTTTTGTTTTACTTTTTGAGACAGGGTCTGACTCTTTAACCCAGGCTGGCCTTAAATTCACAGATATAAGTATTTCTGCCTATGCTATGATTACGGGTATTAACTACCATTTACTGCTGACAGTTGGTCTTTAAAAGTGCACATGGCTTGACATTTGACAGGTAAAAGCCCTGTCACACAGCCCTGAAAATCTGAGTGTAGTCCCCAAAACCTACATGAAAAGCCGGCCGTAGTGTTCACATGTCTGTAATCCCAGCAACTACAGCAAGATGGGAGGCAGAGAGAGGAGTCATAAAGCTTGTAAGCCAGCAGTCCTGATGTGTGCAGCATGACAAAAGCCAGAGACTCTGCCTCAGTAAGATGGAAGGCTAGAACCCACTACCAAAAGTTGTCCCCTGAGCCACACACACACACCCCATGAAATAGGTAATAAAGTTTAAAAAGCATATGTAAGGAACTATGGAGAGGGCCACCAATTAAAGCTCTTGCTGTGCAAGCATGAAGGCCAGAGTTCATACCCCCAGTACTCACCCAGATGCCTCGTGCGTGTGCTGGCTGAGCATGGAGCCCTCTTGTATTCCAGCAGTAGAAGGCAGATGGGGGTCCCTGTGGCTAGCTGATTGGCAAGACTAGCTGTATCATCAAGTTTTGGGTTCAGTCAAGACTCTGCCTCAATGGTGAGGTGGAAAGCATTCAAGGAAGATTCCTGATATAGACTTCAAACCTCCATGTATATGTGCTTGCACACATATGGGCCCACACACGGGGGCAAACATACATTTCATATACACACCACACTGACCCATACAGAAAATGAGCATATGTAAAGTTTCTTCATTGTGGCCCCAGTGATTAGGAAATTTCTTCAGTGGTCTTTTGAGGAGTAGGTGGGATATGGACCTATGAAGGAGGAAATAAAGCATCCTTGAGAGAAGAAAGGCAGAGTCAAGAGTAGGGATGGACAGAGTATGTTCATCACCATGGAGATGGGCTGGAGAAGCCAAGTGTCAGGAGTGGTGAGAGGCACGCAGTGTTTCCTCAGCTCTGAGGCTGGACCTTGCTGCTTCATTTCAGCCAGCACTGAAAAGCTCCGCCAGGTGCTCCGCCCATACCAGGACCATGTCACCTACTGAGAAAACAAGGCATCTGTTAGGTTCAGATGTGTGTAGTAGGTCAGGAAGTATGTGGAGAGAGAAACTGGCTGGAGCTAGATTTCATCTTTGATGATAACAGAATCCACAGTAAACATTTTTTCACTTTGGAGTCTCTCATGAGCTTTGTGTGTAATAGTCTCAGTGTAACAGTTACTTACATGCTAAAAGGATTCCAGGCAGGTTAAATGTTTTAGGAATAAAGACAGGCAAACACTGTTTCCTGTTGTAGAAATGGCAGATACAAAGGCAGAAGTAGCTGTAGGGATGGGTTCTGCATCAGGTTAGTCTGCCTTGAAACCCTTGAAGTGATTCTTAACTTCTAGGCTCTGATCCGGCAGCTGACTACAGGCATCAAGATTGTATGGAGGAAGGACCTTCTTCCGAACATCAGCCTGGGGCCATCCCCCAAGGCTGAGTGTTTCTGGGAACACTCGAGTTGACTTTTGGAAACCTATTTATTAAGTTGATTTTCTCACCTCATTAAATGAAATTATCCCTCTCATGTGTCTTTACATTGTAAAGGGAAAAGGGTCGCCTGGTGGGGCTCTGGCTCTGGGAGGAGGCACTGAAAGTGATCAGATAGTTGTGTTTGGTAAGCTGCTCAGGTGTCTCAGAACAGTCTTGTGCTCTTCTGACTCAACGCCAGTGAACTGAGCTGTGTCAATGGTGCTTTGTTCTCTTGGTAGGCAAGGAGGGCACCATGAGCTGGCTGAGCGCCTCGTGGAAATACAGTACGAGCTGACTGACAGACTGGCCTTCTACCTCTGCGGCAGGAAACCAGGTGAGAGAGAGGACAGCCTTGCTGCACCTTTACTCTGGAAAACAGGTCAGGACAACATTTTTATGACTTGCTCTGGAGCTAGTTCCAGGACAGGCCCCAAAGCTACAGAGAAACCCTGTCTCAAAAACAAAAAAAAAAAAAAAAAAAAAGTCCTCAGGAAGATTGCCATAAGGGTTTCTATTTGAAAGGATAACATAGCTGCAGAATTTTTATTTTTGTTTTCTTTTGCTTTTAAATAGGGTCTCACGATGTATCCCATGTGACCTGGGACTTTGCTGTATACCTTCAGCCGGTCTTAAACTATTTTTAAATAATTTTTTGACATAATTACATCATCTCTCCCTTCCCTTTCTTCCCTCCAGATGCTCCCATATATCCGCCACCTCGCTCTCCTTTGAATTCATGGCCTTTTTTTTCTTTAATTGTTGTTGTATGCGTGTGGGGTGTGTGTGTGTGTGTGTGTGGTATGTGTGTGTGTGTGGTGTGTGTGTGTGTCTGTATATTCCTAAGTACATGGCTATAACCTTCCCAGTTTGTATTATGTTACTCCTATGTATATTTTCCTGGTTGGCCATTTAGCATTGGTTATCATTGGTGTGCTTCCATGAGGAAGACTGTTTCTTCTGCTCTCAGCAGTCTAGTTTCTTATCAGTCTCTGTGAGGGACTGAGCCTCCTAAGCTTTCTCTTCCATCTTAGCGGGTTTGTTTGTGCCGTCCTTGTTGGGTCACATTCAGGCAGCCATGTTGGTGAGACTCTATGGGTGTAGCTTCTGACATTTCTAGGAGATACAGTCTGACAGCAAACTCCTAGGTCCTCAGATTCTGATCACTTTTCTTCTCCCTCTTCCATAATGATCCCTCAGCCTTAGATGCAAAAGTTGTAATGTAGAGTATCTGTTGGGACTGGGCTCTACAACTGTGTCTGTGATTGACTGTGTTTTTCTGCAGTGGTCTCTATTTGTTTCAGAGAAAAGTTTCCTTGAGGGATGAGGACTACACTTATCTGTGGGTACAAGGACAAATATTGAGAACATAGTTAGGGTTTATGCTGGTTTAGTAAAGTGATGGCTGTAGGTTCTACAAGATCCATGACTTCGCTATCTCTGGGTAGTCTGAAAAGATGTAAAGATTTCTGAGACTCATGCCGGGCAGTGGTGCATACTTTTAATCTCAGAACTCAGGAGGCAGAGCAAGTGGGTCTCTGAGTTTGAAGCCAGCCTGGTCTACAAAGCAAGTTTCAGGACAATCTGGACTGGACTGTTACACAGAGAAACCCTGCCTTAAAAGACAAAAGACAAAAAAAAAAAAAAAAAAAAAGATTCATGAAACTCCAACTTCAAAGAAGGTGAATGCAAAAGAAACCTGGGAGAAAGTACTTCAAAAACATCCAGAACAGTATTTCACACAGCAAAGTTGAATATCCTTTATCTGAAATGCCTAGTACCAGAAATGGTATAGATTTCAGATTTTTCTTAAAAAAATCTATTTTGGAATATTTTGCTGTAGATTTCTGATGTAGAAATCTGAAGTGCCAAACTTTCTGAGCATCCTATTGTTGCCCTGATGCTCCTCAGAAGTCATGGAGATGAAAGGAAATTAAATGCTATTGTTAAAGTGACGAAAGAAAAGAGTTGTCTGCCTGGGGGCCCATAGCTAGTAAAGCCTTACCTTTCGCATGAAGAAAAGTTAAACACATTGCAAGATGAAGAAAAATCAGATACTCCATTTCTCTAACAGCGGCGCTGGAGAAGGGTCTTGAGGCCATTCACTCAGGATAAGGAGTGCATCAGGAAGTGCACAGTAGCAGAGGAACCCGGCTGCAGATGTGCGTGGCAGCTGGCAGTAATGACTATCATGCAGTGTACATCGCTCTGTGTGTGTGTATTGGGCAGTCGCAGCAGGAATGAGAAAGGGTGAAAGAAATACAGTAGCATTCCTACATTTTGTCTGAAGTGGGAAAGGAACATTTCTAAGTACATAGAGCAGTTGTCCATGCAGACTTTGGAGCTGTGCCGACCTCAGGCTGTCTGTGGGCTTCCCACCCTGAATGAAGCAGATGTGATCTGAGAGGGTCAGAGTAGACCTCGGAACAAAGAAAAATAGCAAAGATCGAGGGGACATGAGACAATGACAGAAGGGCGCACTTATGCCAAGAAGATACAGCGCTCCAAGTCACATACGTGTCAGGAGAACGGAGAGAGAGGGGGCTTAGCAGGCAGAGGCACTGGACATCATGAGTTCAAGCCCCCAGACCCACCTGGCAGAAGGAGAGAACTAATCCTAGAAATTGTCCTCTGACTTTTACATGCATGTCCACATGTACAATGCAAGCAGAGTATTGAACCGGTGGACCTAAGAGGAAGGGCCTTACTGTAGACTCCACATACTGCTTTTGAAGTTATATATGGAGTTGGATAGTTGTTTTAAAACAGTAGTATGCTGTAGCCCAGGTTAACCTCACAGTCACCACAGTCCTGTCCCAAGTGCTGGAATCACAGGTATATACTGCCATGCCTGACTCAAAAGTACTTCCAACTAAATAAAAATAAAAATGTCAAAATTTGTAGGATTGGATGGGCCTGGTGGTGCATGCTGTTAATCCCTGCACATGGGCACCTGTAAATCCAAAGCCAGCCAGAACTGCATAGTAAAACCCTGTCTCATAATTAGAAAGTGAGAGGGTGGGGTGGGGAAAGATATTCATGGATATATTTAAACAGTGTTTATAGGAGGCTTTTTTGCATTAAATACTTGGATTTGAGAAGGTAGCTCTAAAGTTAGGCTTCTCACAGAGGAGCTAGAGATGAACATGTGCACGGCTAACCCAGCACAGGACAGATGCAGAAAACACGGAAACCAAACATTACCATGGCGGATATGCTTCATAGAAATCAAGAAAGTGGATAGAGGCCTATTAAAAAAAAGGATCTTAATAACACCATTAGTAACAGCTAATGAAAAGTAGGCGCCGAAGCTGTGGCTTGGCATAGTTCTAGGTACAAAGCTCTGGGCTTGATTGCCAAGCACTAGAAAGCAACAACAGGAAGATATTACAACTTTGCAGAAAAATATGACAGCTTAGATAAAATATACTCATTCTTAAAAAGCCACAGACTACCAAAATCCATCTGAGAAAAAGAATATAAATATCTATTCTTAAATGTATATTCGTATACACTTACACACATTTCCTCCCTATTCCCTTTTTGCAGTGCTAGGGACCAAACCCAGGGCATCAGGTTTCATGCATGCTAGGCAAACATTCTAATACTTGACTGAGTTTCCAACCCTGAAAATCTGGATTGTTCAAGAATTTGAATTTATACCTCAACATATATCCCAGGTTCAAAAGATAGGAAAAGGGCTGGAGAGATGGCTCAGCAGTTAAGCTCACAAGTTAAGAGCACTGGCCACTCTTGCAGAGGACGGGGGTTCTTTCCCAGCACCCATTTGGCAGCTAACAACCAAGTGGTATTTTGTTTTGTTTAATAATGTATTTAACTTTGTTTTATGTGCATTGGTATTAGATACCCTAGAACTGGAGTTACAGACAGTTGTCAACTGCCATGTGGGGTACTAGGAATTGAACCCCAGTCCTCTGAAAGAATAGCCAGTTCTCTTAACCACCAAGCCAGGCCTTCTTTCCATCCTCTTACCATGTGTAATTCCAGTTCCGAAGGAGTCCACATCCTCTTCTGGCTTCCATGGGCCCCAGGCACAGAAGTGGTATCGATGTATTCAGGCAAAAGACTCACACATAAAAAAGAATAAAACTCGTCAGGAAAGAGAGGAAGAAGAGCAAGACTCCTCAGTACATGTTAGTGGATTAGTGAGACACCAAACCTAGCAAAAGGAAAGAATGGGGTATGGGAGGGTCCCAATGAACAGAGACAAGAATCCTTGGCAAATTTTAGCACAGTAAATCTAGAAATGTGTAAAAAGAAAAAAAAAATACAACATAGCCACTGGAACAGTTAATGTAACTGAAAAGGTGGCTTAGTGGTTAAGGGGACCCAGGTTCAGGTCCCAGCACCCTCAAGTTGCTTGCATCCTTCAGTGATTTCATTTTCATGGCATTTGACACTGTCTTCTGACCTCGGGCACACAGGTACCCACATGGTACCCATACACACTCACAGACGAAGCACTCATACACTCAAAAATCTTTTTAAAAGAGAAAATCAGGGCATTAATAGACTACAAGGCAAAACTTATGCAGTAGTCAGTGGCATTTGGCCAAATTCAACATCCATTCATAATTTAGAAAAAAAAATTAGCAAACCAGAAACAGATGGAGCTTGTTTAACTGGTCATGATTGCCCAGAGAACCAACTGCTCTACTGAGGCCAGTGTCTGTTCTCACCACGCCTACTCAGTGAAAGTCCAGACACCCTACCTCCTATAGAAACTGAAAAAGGAAGAAATAAAACTTTCCCCGCTCAAGTGAGATAATATTTATGTGGAAAATCCCAAGGAACCTACAAGAAAATTTCTAAAACTAAGAGTATAGGAAGATTACAGAACAAAATCAGCAGCTCCGAATCATATCTCCTTTATTCTTTAGTGTGAGTGTATGTGGTATTGCCTATAGGAGCAACTGCGCTCTGTGTGCAGGGAAGTGAACGTTCACCAAGCTTCACAGCAGTAGAATCTAGGCTGGAGATCCAGGTAAAGGACCTAAAGCTGTAGGCTAAGGAGAGTCTCGTGATCCTGGTTCAAAGTTCCTAGATTTTGTTTTGTTCGATTAATAATTTGGGTTTTGTCAGAAGCACTCACCTCGCTCGCTTGCTCACTTGGTTTTTTGAGCTTATCTAAGTCCAGTACTAGGCTGACATCAGAGTTACATAGGCCTCTTCGTCTTTGCTTGGCCCCTCTAGTTCTGGATTAAGGTATACACCAGCACACCTGGTCTCAAAACCAAAAGAACTAAGAGTGAAATAACTTTTCACTCTTAACTAGCAGATATTGAAAGGAAGTATTTGGAGATCACATTTTCTTTCCGTTTTTTTTTTTGTTTGTTTGTTTGTTTGTTTGTTTTGGTTTTTCAAGACAGGGTTTTTCCGTGTAGCCCTGGCTATTCTGGAACTCACTCTGTAGACCAGGATGGCCTGGAACTCTTAGAGATCCGCCTGTCTCCGCCTCCTGAGTGCTGGGATTAAAGGTGTACACCAACACTGCTGGGTTTGGAAATCACATTTTCAGTAAGAATGTGCATCAAGGACACTTAAAAATTAAAGGTCAACCTGAGCAGTGCTGGGCACAACAGACCAGCAGCACCAGCAGTGGGAGGCTGAGGATCAAGTTTTTTTCCTTTTTTTCTCTCTCATACAGTCCATCCTTGTAGCAGACTTTCTTAGACCGCCAGCCAGCTCCCAAATCATGACATGGAAATATTATTAATTATGAATGCTCAGCCTTACCTTATGCTTGTCTTACTGACTCTTAGAACGTAAATCAACCTGTTTCTCTTCATCTGCATTTTGCTTCAGGGCTTTTTACCTTTCATTCTGTGTGTCATTCTGAGTGGGCTGGCTGGCCCCAGGCCTCTCCCTCCATTTCCCTCCATTTCTTTGCTTTCTCTCTTTCCCCATCCTAGAGTCCTTCTCCTACTTATTCTCTCTGCTCACCAGCCCTCCCTATCCCTCTACTGCCTACTCTTGACCATTCAGCTTTTTATTAGACCAATCAGGTGCCTTAGGCAGGCAAAGCAATACATCTTTACATAGTTAAAGTAATATTCTGCAACATAAACATAATTCTATTCCACAAAACATCCTGACTGCAGTTTCCCCTCTCTCCACTCTTCCCAGCGCCTCCCCCCACCCCAGCCTTTCCTCTCCCGCGGATCCGCTCCTCCTCTGTTTCCCTCAGAAAGGAACAGGCTTCCCAGGATATCAAGTCAACATGGGATAACAAGATACATACAATAAGACTAGGCACAGATCCTCCTATCTGGGCTAGGTGGGGCAACCCAATAGGAGGAAAAAGTTTAAGAGCAGGCAAAAGAGTCTGAGACACCCCCACTTTTAGGAATTCCACAGAACACCAAGCTAGCAACCATAACACACATGCAGAGAACGTAGCGCAGATCAGTACAGGCTCCATGATCCTCACTTTGGTCTCTGTGAGCCCCTATGCACCCTGCTTAGTTGATTCTGTGGGCCATGTTTTCCTGGTGTCCTTAACCCCTCTGGCTTCTACAGTTCTCCCCCTCTTCTGAAGGATTCCCCAAGCTCCAAGGGGAAGGACCAATGGAGATCTCCAGTTTGGGCGCTCTCTCTGCCTATTGTTTGGCTGTGGGTCTCTGCATCTGCTCCCATCAGCTGGTGGAAGTTTCTCTGATGACAACTGGGCTAGGCACAGATAGGTTCTTGCCATACTCTTCACACATAGTCCTGCTTTAAGGAATCTGCATGCCTGACTGCACGCAAGAGGAGCCAGCAGTGCTGGTTAAGACTGAGTCAAAGAATGTAGTCATCTTTTCTTAGAAGAATCATTTATTTTTATTATGTTTTTGAAAACAAGCTCTCGAGTAGTCTGTGTAGTGGTGCACACCTTTAATCTCAGCATGTGGGAGACCGAAGCAGGAGGGACTCATGAGTTCCAGGCCAGCCAGGACTACACTCTTTTCTGTCTGAAAACAGGCCAGGGTGGGAGTGATAGAGAAATGGCTGAGTATTTGCTACTCTTGCAGAGGGCCTGGGTTCCATCCCCAGCACCCATGTGTCGGCTCATAACTGCTTACAACTCCAATTCCAGGAAACCTGTTGACCTTTTGAGCTCTGTGGCCACAAGCCACCCTTGTGGTATGCCAAGAAAACATGGATACACAATAAAAATAAATTAAAAAAAAAATTAACCAATTTCATTAAATTAGGCAGGTCTCTAATTTGCTGTGTGTTCAAGGATGACCTTGAACTCTGATCATCCTCCTAAGGGCTAGGATTATAGACAAGCAGTACCATGCCCATGTATGTGCAAGAGTATGTGTACACCTGGGCCAGTGTTCTGAATTCAGTTCTCTCCTCTTTGTTGAGCTTGAAGCTTTCTTGTCTGTGCACTATACTCCAGCTAGCTGGCTCAGGCGCTTTGAGACAGTCTCCTGTCTCCATCTCCCACCTCCCTGCATATGTGCATGCATGTGTGTGTGTGTTTGCCACCACAGCTGAGGCTTGAGGTGTCAGACTTCTACAGCTAGAGGTTTTACCTGCTGAGCAATCTCCCTGGGCTGTGGGCCATTTCCTGCGCCCTGGCGATCAAGACCATCTCAAAGAGATGAAAGAGAGAAACAAAACCTGAAGACAGTGTATAAATAGCTAAACACAAACACAAAACAAACAAACAAAAAAACCAAGCGCATGAAGATTTGCATCATTAGCCATTACAGAAATGCAAATTAAAACCACAGTGTGATGCTGCCCCAGAACTAGTAGTATAATTTGGGGGAAAATATGGAGCAACTGTAAGTTTCGCACATTGCTGAGGACAACAGTGAGAGAGTGTTTGTCTTTAGGAGACGCAGTCTTGCTGTGTAGCTCAGGTGCGTCTCTCTGCCTTAGCTACTGCTGTGCTGTAATTGCAGACATGTGCTTGCTGTTCAGAATATAAAACAGCAGAGCTACTAAATGAATAGCAGCTTCCTCCCAAGTAAGATGCACATTTGCCGTGTGCCCCACGCCCAGGCACAAAAACCGCAAAAGTGCTTGCCGTGGTTTCTTCACTGGAATGTGAATCCTTCTTCTAGAAATCTAGGTTAGGGCAGAGCCGCTCGGCAGATGGCAAGGTGGAGTCACTCTGGGTCTGCATGCAAAGCACCCCTGCCCTCGCCCTGAACTCTCTCAGGCTTAGTGCAGCTCTGCCATCTGCCACCAGGAGCTGGTGGAGCCTCCCTCAGCATTCTTGTGTCGGTTTTTCTGGGGTGAGCTGATCAGCACAGGTTTTCTGCCTAATGATGTCTGAACTGGTCAGGTTTCAGGGAACTTGTAGCCAATCTCAGAACTTCTCCATTTCCCCATGATTATGAAAAATGACTAATTGGAAAATTTAAACTGAAAATAAAAAATGGTAGCACTCCTTTATATATCTCAATATTGACATGAGCAAAACTTTGATTTCTGTTTCAGATCACAAAAATGGGCAGCACTTTATAATCCCTCAAATGGCAGACAGGTAAGAACCAGCTTATCTGCCCAGCATTGCCTTGGTTTGCAGTATGGAAGTGTATTATATTTTGTGTTTAACAGAGCCCATACATTTTTCTCTTTTATGGCTATACACTTTGGAAATAAGACGGCTGTAAGTAAACCACCATGTGAAACTTAACTTGGAAAGAGCACAGATCCCAGAAACACTAATAAGGAGTTGGAGCCAGTAATGCTGTTGCCACTATTTGGCCAGTTGTCCTGGTGTTTGTGTTGATAGGTCATATTCACAGGTATTTCTGTGTCAGAAGAGAAGAGCTGATATTCTTGGCCTATAATAGGGGTTGACAAACAATTTTGTCAAGGACCAGGAAATATGTTAAGCTCTGTCAGCTGTGAACCCTGTCACAGCTGTCAGCTTCTCCTCTAGAAAGTGTCAGTGAGCTCTTAAGATGACGGGCTGGCTACTGAAACTCGAATTTTTAGATCTTGAGAAATAAATGTTCTTTTTTCCTTCTGTATCCAAAATGTTTAAAAATATAAAACCATCCTTAGTTCATTAGCTGAGCAAAAACCCTTGCTTGCTGCCCCCGACCGTCCCAGCCACAGCAGAGGGCCCTGCAGCGCTGGGCCAGTACTGCCAGGGTGGTGCACGGACAGACCCTGCTCTTCCAGCCGTGCTCTTGTCTTTCTGGCTTTTCAGTTTCCTTCTCTGTTTTCCTTTTTATTTTGCCTTTTTTTCCCTTTGTGCTGTGGATGGAACTCAGCAGCTCACACATTTTACAAATGTTTTACCACTAAGCCACACCCCAAGGCCTAGAGATCATTCAGTTGTGGGCCAGTGCCTTTCCTTTTAACATTACCTGCCTGCTGGGTTTCAAGGAGTCACTGGCATCCCTTGGGCATCTTAATCTTGTAGCGTTCACAGCTTCTCTTTACTCGCTTAATGGTTTTGTGCATTTCCTCAGCAGCCTGGATGTGTCTGAGTTGGCAAAAGCTGCCAAGAAGAAGCTTCAGTCTGTGAGTATCTCTTCCTGGTGAACCCCAGCATGGAAACACCCTGCTGGTCCCTATTGTCAGTCTGAGTTAGCTCTTGCATCAGATCATTGTTGAATCAGAAGGAGCCTGTCAGGTCTATATGTAGCAGTGAAGACCAAAAGCTCTTGAGTATATCCAAGTCCGCTGACTACTTCAGACGATCTGTGTTCTTCTCTCTTGTATTAAAAATGCAGCCCCTGCCTGTGGTAGTCGGATATTGTTTTCTACCAGAACTCTGGGTATTTCTCAGGGAACTGCAGTGAGTGAGGTGGCCTTCCATGGCATTTCTTCCATTAGTCACATGGGACGGGACACTAAGGAATAGCAGTAGCTGATACTGCCAGGGCAGTGACTTGGTGCATTCATCCACTGGAGTAGCATGGACTCTCTTGCCCGTTGTATGCTATTCCTTAGAGCTTTTTAAATTTATACTTCTGAAAGTTGATGGTCTGGACCTAGGCCTGTCGGTCACATAATCTTTGTATTTGAAGATGCCCTGGGAGAGTGATTCCCTTTTGTCAAGCTCACCAGGTATTTATTGGTTACCTCTTCTCAGTGCTCCCTGGATCAGAACCAAGATCCCTTGCAGTTTTGGGGTTTTTTGTTTTGCTTTTCGTTTTGTTGTTGTTGTTGGGTTTTTTAATTTCTTTATTTTTTTCGTTACCTTTAAGGGCCCTTCAGCACAGTGTCACTTCCTGTCTGGTTAGGTGTGCATGCACTGTTGGGGTGGCTCTGTGAATCAGCTCTCTGAAGCCCCTGCTCCAGGACTCTGTTCCTGCTCGTTGTCCTTGCCTAGTTCCCATTCCTCTTAGCCCTTGCGGAGCCTAATCACCTCTGAGGTGTAGGTACAGTCCAGCCTTCCTGATTCGTGATTTCCCCTCCTTCCCCATTCACAAGAGACCCTTTAGAACCTCATACAGTATCATTAAGTATCACATAAAGAAAATTTATTCTTAATAGTATTTAACTGTATCGTGAAATAAATGTGTTTTATGCAATTTGTTTGGTGTCTCTGTGTTCTGTATCTGCAGTTTGTGTGTTTGTGTGTTTTAATGCCTTTCTTAAGTTCAGGAGGCCATATAGTAAGATGAATGAGATGTCGAGCTTTTTAGGCCACACAGGAGTGTGTGCTTTCCTTTAATTACTGGTCGTCTGTAAGCAAATTTCTGTTATACATAGCAGACAGACAGACAGACAGTCTCCTTCTGACTGTCAGCTAGGCTGGATGCCACAGGAAACCTGAGCTTGACTATCTTATCTAACATGGGACAGGCATTAAATAAATACCTCAGACAGAGTTTAATATGCTCTAAAGACCTTAGACTGGGTGTCAGGCTCAACAGCCGAGCTCACCCTCAGCCCTGCAAGCACAGAACCTCCCCTCCAGCAGGGATGCTGGGAAAGAGGGCATCCCAGGGGCTGCTTCTCACAGGTGGCTGCTCTTACCAGTGCTGGGGTAGCATTCACCACCACCACCACCTTTCTCGTCTATATGCCCTTCTCTCTCCTTTCATTTCTTCTTCCCCAACTGTGTTTGTCTCATACTCTCACTCTCCTCTCTAGTAAAAAACTGAGGGAAATGGAACAAAAAATCAATATATTCTTGAATTAGTAAATGTTAATACTTTAAAGTCTTAAGGCCAGTAACGTCTGTTGGGTTTTTTTTTTTTTTTTTTTTTTTTTTTTTGTCTAAAAAAACGGGACAGTAGTAAATGCTATCTTCATTGATGGTATTAAACAGGGTGCTATTTGCACCATGTCTAAGAGGCAGGCAGGCCCTCAGCAGTGTGGGTCGTGATGCCATTAGTGATAACAGAACAGCTTGTAGTCCAGTCCTTGGAGGTAGAAACTTGATGATTCTCAAGCATGTTCAGACTCTATTCCTGGCGAGACTGCAGGGTTTGTTTCGAACAGTGAGTGTAATGTGGATTCAGTGGAAAAGCTAAAAGGAGATGGACTCCTCGTCCTCAGTCACCTCGCTGTCCGAACTCAGGCTCAGCATTTTGGTATATTTCCTTCAGTTTTTATTTCCAATTTGTACCTATTTGTATCTCTTTTTTTTTCCTTCTAGAAATTATATGCCAGAATTTCATGCCCTGTTTTGTTTTTTTTTTAACCCGGTAGGGTGTTCTAGGCGTTTCCTGTGTTCCTCCGAGGGCCCTGTAACCAGTGTTTTTGTTTTGTTTTGTTTTTTTAAAAATGTCGAATTAAAGACCTCTAGGTTCATCTAAGTGACGTCCCTGCAAATGTCAGGCACAGCACAGAGTGGCAGTGTGACAAGTTAGCATCTGCCATCAGAGCACATAGCAATCAGCAGAGAGATCACAGCTTCTGAGTGTCAGACTGAGGTGGAAGAGCTGGAGCCTGACTGGGCTTCTCCTGAGCTTCTCCTTTCTCAGCTGGAAAACCTTGGTAGTCTTCCCAGTTCCTGCTGCTCTGCGATTGTATTGTGAGCTGTGCCCCTCGGTGCCCTGATGAACCACGGCATTAATAAGGAAGCTCAGCTCTTATGTTGTAGTCAGCCAGGAAAGCTAGCTGAGCGCACTGTGCAGCAGGTGCTCACCCACTGCCGACAGTGTGGCTGTCTAACCACTGCGTTCAGCAGTCGTCCCCACCGGAGGGTTCACTTCTTTATCCCACCAGGGATTTAGGACCCATTCCTTTTGGGAGAGCAGACAAAAGTTTTCAGGACAGCAAAGACTAGGGTACTGGCTAGCACAGTCAGAGCAGAGTGGGAGCCTGTCTTGCCTCTTTGTAGCAGTAACCGCCTGTTGTAGAATAGGGCCTACGAGAGGCAGCTGCTGCTAACAGGGAAATGGTAACGGCAGGCATTCACTAGGCACTGGCGTTGAATAAGACACTGAGATAAAGGGTGACTGCGTGTGTCACAGGAATCCTCCTGGTGTTAATTGTTGTCCCTTGTGTTCCTGATATTTTTACTTTCAGCTAAGTAATCATTTGTTTGAAGAACTTGCCATGGATGTGTACGATGAAGTTGACAGGCGAGAGACTGATGCAGGTGACTTAACATGCAGCTTTACTAAGCTTCTGTTCTCAGTGGGAGGTGGCAAGCTGCCAGCCTGTGTTTTACTTGCCCAGTTGCTACTGTCCTCATAACCTATGTGTTGACCTGTACTTTTGTGTGTGTTGGCTTCGGAGTGTGCTTCCCTGAGTCTCCCTTATAGTGTGTGAGCCATGCCTCCCAGTGGAGCTCTACAGGTGTGATAAGATTCTGTCTCTGGCTCTTTTCCTCCGGCTAGTTTGGCTTGCCACGCAAAACCACAGCACCCTGGTAACCGAGACAACAGTCGTCCCCTTTCTTCCGGTCAATCCTGAGTACTCCTCAACACGAAACCAGGCAAGTGGCTTAGTGTGAAAAGTTAATATTATTTGGGAAATGACGGATGTGGTATTTATAGTATCCTGTATACACGTAAATAGACAACTTGAGAATGAATAAGAAAAGCATATATGAACAGGAAAATACAAATAACTCACAAACATGAAAGGAAGTGATAAAGATAGTAAAGGACACTCTAGGACTCTGACAAGATTGTGAGCGACTGCGGATGAGACAGGCAGCTTGTTGGCTCCTTGTGTGATCTCAGTGCTCAGGAAGCTGGGACAAGAGGACCTCAAGCTTGATGCCAGCCTGGGCAACATAGCAAGACTGTGAAAGATGGGGGAGAAGAGTGGAGAGAGGAAGGGAGGAAAATTGTTTACTAGTTAATCAGAAGCCTTAAATTTATGTAAATCTTTGTACCAAGGAATTTTCATTTAAGAATATTTCCCCCAAAAAGCAGTTTTGTACGTGTGTGTTGTGTATAACAATAGAACATTAAAAGGAGCCTATTTCAGACAGAGGAGTGAGAAAATGAGGTTCTAGTTCCAACTGTCTGAAGGAATGAAACCCACATCCAGGCTATAAGCTTATCTTTAAATGTGGAAATTTCCCTTCGGATTCACTTTTCACTCAGCTCAAAATTAAATCATTGATAACAAAACTACGTTTTTATATTCTGATAGTGCTGGAAATTGAACCCAGGACCTCATGTGCTAGTCAAGTGTTCCAGCAATGAGCTACACATCTGCCAGAACCATTTTATTTTAATTCATAATAGCAAATACTGATGTCCGTTGGAGAATGATGGTGACTGAGTTAATGTGATGGAGCTGGAAAACCCTTGCATAAGTCTAACAGTCTTGGACATCTGCTGTCACTATTGATGCTTATATTTTTACATTGGAGACTTTCCCATTATTTTCTCCCCCTTAGGGCAGACAGAAATTAGCTCGGTTTAATGCCCATGAATTTGCTACGCTGGTCATCGACATCCTCAGTGACGCCAAGAGGAGGCAGCAGAGCAGTCCTCTGTCCAGGTCAAAAGGCAAGTGTCCAGTTCTGAGTGTGAGACACAGTGTTCAGTCCAGAGCTGGGGTGATGGGCAGTCACAATACAGCTCAGGATTCAGTCTAAAGCTGAAGATGCTCGTAAGTGTTACCTAGCCATTCTGAGAGTTTGTTGCTAATATATTATGACAGAAAGGTACCTGTTGGAGCCCTAGTGAATAGAGTACTTCAAAGTTATCGAGTATTCCAGGTGATACAGTATATCAGAGTACCTCTGTGTTACAATTTCCTCATATTTCCACATCCCAAACAGCTTCAATGTTGCTGACTGAGATGGTCCAACCTCACAGACAACCCCAGTGAGGACTTGATCATTATTCTGATTTTCTCATGGTCCCACAAAGAAACTAGTGCCCCTAGACAACAGGAATCAGTCTAAAGAATGATGCCCACATTCGCAAGAGGTGAACTGTGGATAGATTTTCATTGTTTGGTGGACTATAGGTGTTGCCATCATTGGGGGGGGGGTGTTAAAATTTTTATTCATTATGGTCAGGAAAAAAAAGCTAAACAAAGAAGCTAGATTCAAAGATCTCTTTCTAAAAGGAAGAGGGGGATACAGTATAAAATGATGAGATAAAAGGGCGGTTTGCCAAGTCTACTTTTGAAAAGTCTACTTTTGAAAAGCTATTAACCGGGCTGGAGAGATGGCTCAGTGTTTAAGAGCATTGCCTGCTCTTCCCAAGGTCCTGAGTTCAATTCCCAGCACATGGTGGCTCACAACTATCTGTAATGAGGTCTGGTGCCCTCTTCTGGCCTGCAGGCATACATGCAGACAGAATATTATATACGTAATAAATAAATTAAAAAAATGATGACTGTACTTTTAAAAAAAGAAAGAAAAGCTATTAACCTCAAATATTTTACATTGATACAGATTTTTTGATAGAAAAGTTAGTTTGTGATACTACTTGTATGTTTCTACTCTTTTAGGGTAGCGTATGTATGAAACTCATTCAAAAATGTGATATATAATTAAATGCAGGTTAGTAAGTCATCTAAAGGAATCAAACTTGTCATATTAGATATGTTTTTAAGGATCAATGGGTATATTTAGACAGATGGACGGTCTTATAACACTTCAGAAATCAATAAGATAATGAAATTTAAAATGTTTTACTAACATAATGCTTTTCATGGCACTGAGATACATATGCTCATGACAGCACTAGTCTGCTTGAAAAAAGGATGATGGGCATTGATGGACCTCCATATGGAGTTTGCTTTCTCTGAGGCAAAAACTAGCCAAATACAAATAGACTAGATATTGTAACTGTAGTACTTACTTGATAACTGTTTTTATTGCATATAGTGTTACTATGTTAAAGTTAAAACCTTTTTATTTATGCAAAAGGGGGCAAATTGTGGAACAATCTTTCTGTATGACACTGTGAAGATATGTTGCTTTTATTAGTTTAATAACAAGATAAATGGCAGGGAGAGGTTAGGCAGGACTTGTGGAAGAGGGAGAGAGCTCGCTGTGATAAAGGGTGGAGTCACCAGGAAAAGCAGGGAGAGACAGTATGCATATGCCATGCTGAAAAAAGTTACCACCACACAGTCCAGCATAAATAAAATAAAAAGGGTTAACTTAAGTTTTAACTACTTAGAGACAATCCTAAGCTATCAACTGACCATTTCTAGTTACTAATCAGTCTCTGTGAGGTTACTCAGAAGCTTGCCCACAGGACAAACATGTCTGCCTACAATATAGAGTATGTTTTGATAAACATAAAATAATATGATTCATGAGGTTTTATGAAACAACCTTGCTGTTATTTTGTTCCTCTTCCCTCCTCAAGTTCTGTATTTTTCTCTTACTAATAAAACTTTTATCAAAAAATTATCAAATATTATTCAGTCTTAATATGTGATTTTTTTCATGATCACTTATTTCCCCATAAAATTGGCACCTTGAAAGTAACACAAAAGTCTAACTTAAATTTTTCAAAGGACATAAATAAGAAAGGTTCTTGATTATAGTTATATTTCCCCTGCTGTCACTTTTCAAGCCCCTCTGTCACTACATAATTAGAGTTTGCAGCTGTAAACTTTGCATTTCTGTGGCCAGGAGCACTGTGATGAGATGCGGAGCACGCTGAGCATCTATCTCACAATGATTCCTCCACGTCCTGTCTGCAGACACTGGAGCCCACTTCCTCTGCAGCCAGCCCCAAAACTCTGGGCTCGATTTTTCTATGTACAGAAAATTTGAGGCACTTAAACAAGATATTTATGCTGTAAAAATTAAGGTTCCAGTCAATATCACATTCCCCGAAGGCAGGCAATAAACTGACAATAATTTGTGCTCCTTCTTGGTTGTTCAAGAATTTGGTTCTATCAGTTCAACCAAGAATAAAGACTCTGGGAAGGTGTGTTAGACCGGTGAAGGCACAGTCTGGAGAGTACAGGAATCTGGGAAGGTGCGTTAGATCGGTGAAGGCGCAGACTGGAGTGTCTGCAGGAACCAGAAACCTCAGAATAAGCCTACTCTTAAAGAGAACTGGTGAGATGTTTCATGTATGTTGTATATAAAAACATTAGAAACAGCTAAATAATAAATCCTACAGAAACAATCACATGAGAAGTACACAAACACTTTCCAGAAATACTTGGCAGTGTGAAGTGAAATAATACCTTCTTTAAGGTTTGGTGTAGTCTCAATTTTTGTAAGGGAAGTGTATTTGTATAGATGGCTGTGCCCAAGGCGCATCCATGGCAGAGGTTGAGCCTTATACCTTCCTGCTTCTGTATTCCCTTCTCATACTGTGTAAGTGCCTTTCATAGTGCCATGCTTGTCCACGTTCTCATACTTTTTGTTGAAAAAAATGACTCCAAGCACAGTGGGGAAGGTGTTGAGTGATGTCCTGAGTGTGAAGAGGCGGAAAAGGGGCAGAGGAAAAGGTGTGTGTTTGATGAGCGTCTTCCTCACATGACTTGAAGTGTGCTCCTGGCCTCAAACTGTGGTCATGAATCTGCTGTGTGTTTGACAGAAGCATGTAAAACAAGGCTGTGTATTGACTGGCTCATGAAAATGCTGTGGCCAGTGGCTCTCGGGAACTGTAGACCTCTGTCTCCTCTAAGAACCTCAGTGACAAATTTTTAGAATATATTCACTGAGAATAACAAGGCTGTTGGTGTACATACATACATAGATGACTAGAGAGAAGCGGGCCAGCATATCACAGAGACTGCTGTTGTCCCCTCCGTCACTCATAGTGTCTCCATCCCTATAGTCAGATTCATCTTAAAAATTAAAATGGCAGCTGTTCCTCTTAAGCCAGAATTCACCTCCAGATGAATCTGCCTATAAGACAGCATTAGAAATTAGAGAGTATATTGAGTTGCCCCAAATAAACCACAAACTTAGGTGGTTTGTGAGCTTTTATTCTAAATGTGTCAGAGCCTGTGAGTCACTGTTCCTCCTCTGTGAAATAGACATGACTGATAGTGTCCACGCATGTCCACTAGGTCCGCTCTTGTCTGTTGGATTCAGATGACATAACGCTACTCTTCCTATTTTGGGGGGCACCTGATTTCCAGGCTGTGTGCTTTCAAGGTTTTTGTTTGTTTTCGAGGCCTGGTCTCTCTGTAACTTTGGCGGTCCTGGAACTCTCTGTGTAGATGAGGCTGACCTCTAACCTACAGAAATCACCTGCCTCTGCTTCACTGGTGCTGCGATTAAAAGCAAGTGTCAGCACGCCTGGCTCCTTTCTGTTTAACTTGCCATTCCCTATACAAGTGTCACAAGTCTCGTCCAGTTGCATCACTTCATCTTGGCTTTAGCTGTGAAGCTGTGCTCCGTGTATGCAAACCTGGGGCTTATCGCCTCAGTCTGGCTGCCCCGGAGTTTGTCCAGCCATGCAGCTGAATCAGGGACTCATTATTGTTGTTATTATTATCTCATACATTATATCCCAACCACAGTTCCTCTCCCTCACCTCAGTTTCTTCCCTACCCATCCCCTTTCCTTCAGATCCAACCCCATTCCGTCTCCCCTCAGAAAAGAGCAAGCTTCCCAGGGGCATTAACCAAACATGGCGTAACAAACCACAATAAGACCTGGCACATACCATCTCATCAAGGCTGAATGAGGCAGCCCAGTAGGAAGAAAAGGGTCCCACAAGCAGGCAAAAGAGTCAGAAACATCCTCCACTCCCACTGTTAGGAGTCCCACAAGAACACCAGACCTAGATCAGACCCTACTGGCTTAGATCAGGGACTCTTGACCTTCTCTGTGTAGCTGTCCGTTAAGCTTCTTACTTCCTGTTAGCCCTCTGTGTGTGAGACTATAACCTACTATTTGTGCCATTTTCTTCCAATCCTAAAAGTTTTTTTAGAAGGAAAAAATATATTTTAAGTCTAAAATAGTTTTCTTCTTCTGTATCTCCAGATAATGTGGAACTCATATTGAGAACTGTTAGTAACCAGCACAGCACTGAGAGCCAGGACAACGACCAGCCAGACTATGACAGTGTGGCATCGGACGAAGACACAGACATGGAAACCAGAGCAAGCAAGGCAAACCGGCAGAAGGTGAGAGGGCAGACACATAGGACAGACATGTGTCTCTTAAACGTGTTCTCCCACTGGGGCTAGCGCTGAATGGCACAGTGCTTGCCGAATATGAGCAAGGCCCTGCATTCAATTCCCAGCACCACCAGAAAAAGCCACATACACATGCAAAAAAAAAAAAAAAAAAAAAAAACCTTGCCTGCAAAGTTGTGAGGGTTAGCCCTTCGAAGGCACTATGGATGGAACTGGGTTTCCTGCTACCTCAGGCGAAGCAGATAAAAATGCTTTTTGTCCCTGAGCAAATGAAGAGTCAGTCTGTTGGTGTCATGGCTATTGGTGGGACATGAACAGAGGCTTTTATACACTCAGATTTTATAGAGTAGCTTCTCTGCGTGCTCTTCTCCCATTGAGGGTCATCTCCTGTCCCCAGAAGATGTCACTGATGGGGAAGTGGGATGGTGACAGTAAAGTGCACACCAGCAGATGGTGTTCCTCATAAAGAGATAGCGAGAGAGCCTCTAGACAGTTCAGGGAGGGAAGTCTGGGCAGACAGAAGGGACAGCCACGGCCTCAGGAGAAGGCTAGTCATGAGTAGAAACAACCTAAAAGTCACACACAGTGTAGAGGTCTGATGCCACTTTGGAGGACTGAGGCCTAGAGGGCAGGCAGAGCCCAGGAGTTTGAAGTTGGAGGGCTGCTGAAAATATGCAAAGGGCTGACCACAGAGCTGCCTCAGGGCCTGGGCCAGAAGACCCAGAGGGAGAGACTGAGGCACTGCACTGTGAACATGAGAGAAGGCCTCTCCCAACTACAGGCTGCCCCAGGACTGACCCACAGAGGCACTCCCCAGACCCTAGAAAATAAGACAGAGCTCCGGAGGCATTAAGCAGGGAGATGGACTTAGAGATGTGTCTAGCATCTGCTTCCTCGTGCTGGCAGAAGGGACACCAGTTCACTCAATGAAAGCTAAGATTACCACACCCTCAGGGCTAGACCCTCCATTGAATGACTAGGTTCCCACCTCTCTTTCCAAATATCTGCTCCCCAAATGAGCTCCACTGCTGGTTGGAAGCTTCTCCAGACATTCTCACTGATGCCCTCCGCTCCTCAAACACTACTTACAGCTCACCCCAGCTCCTTAATGTGTAGTCCAGTCCAGCTTTTGCACCCTCCCCTGCTCCACTGTATCTGTTTCCACAGCACTAATCACCTGCAGTGCTACTATGTACTAGATGCTAGTTATCCCAGCTATGCTGCTGGAACATAAACACCGTGGAAGCAGCAGTCTTTGCTTATTTTCTGTACTGATATATCCCACTCACTGGTAATTGCTTGATGCTCAATAAATAGTATGGAATGAATGAATTATTGAAAAAATAATTTTTTAAATTAGTATGGAAAATGTATGCAAGTCAGGACAAGCATTAGGCAGTCAGTGTCATATAGGTTTGCAGCTCCCTGCCTGCTCCTTTAGGAAACTCTGGCTTTAAAATTTCAGAAGTACTGTAGTGCCCCTGCTTCTCATTTGGTTTGCAATTCAGCTGGCATGGCCAGAGACTGAAATTCTTTAGCTGTTAGTCTTTAACATTATCATCTGAGATTGTGAACATTTTCCCCAATTTATTTTTAGAGCCTAGATTCAGATTTATCAGATGGACCAGTCACTGTGCAGGAGTTTATGGAGGTCAAAAGCGCCCTAGTGGCTTCTGAGGCCAAGATACAGCAGCTAATGAAGGTGAATAACAACTTGAGTGACGAGCTGAGAATTATGCAGAAAAAGGTAACATGTCAATAAATGCCAGGATGGTTGACTCGCTGATCCCAGAGCAGAAGGGAGAATCCTAGTCACCATGATTGTGGTCAGAGGGAAGAAAACCATTTACTGTTACAGACCTAGAAATACTGGGGCCAGGCTGTCTTTTTGAAAGCAGGATGTGTATGGCTATTTGAAATGAAATACTTCTGATTTGAAATGTATCCAGAGTAGGACTAGGGTTTGTAGCTCAGTGGTAGAGCGTCTGCCTAGCATGCATAAGGCCCTGGGTTCAGTTTTCATGTTTGGCGGTGTGTGCTTCTAAATGCATTGTTTGCATCTGAAAAAATGCATTCAGAGATCTACTTAAAAGACCTAACAAATGTATAAGTCGGCATAGCTTTGCCCTGTCCTGGGCTTCCTGAGAGTCTGGAAGCTACTTCCTGGATGTGATTCCCTGCTGCCCTCCCAATCCCATTACTGATTCTAAAGATTAATCACACCGTTCAGACAAAGAAGGCCAAAGAATGTGCTTATCAGCATGGAGGTGGCCCCAGCCTGTACTGCCAAGTCACTCAGGTCTGCAGGTCACTCAGCCCCCATGACCATCTAGGTAGCGCACAGCAAGACCAACAGTCCAAGAGCCCTTTGCTGAAACATGCAAGACCTGTATTTCCTCCACCTTTTGAAAACAAAGATGTAGTTTAATGCAGTCATCACAAATCATTTTCTTGGAGTGATTTTTTTTCCCCCTGCACCTTGCCTTTGTAGATCACTCTGCCAGACATCACCTTTTTTCTGTAGCTCTCCTTTCAGTGTCCACAGAGTTTTCAGATGGTGCCGGGAGATGACTCAGTGGGTAAAACATTGCCAAGGTGAAGACAGAAGTTCAGACTCCCAGAAACCATGTGAAAAACCAGGGCACAGTGGTCCACCTTCAGTGGCCAAGCAACAAAAGCAGGGTTAGGGTCTTCAGAGCAAGCTGCTGGCCAGACTAGACAGAACAGTGAGCTCCATGTTCAATGAGAAACCTTGTCTCCATATATAAGAGAGAGTGCGACTGAGGAAGGTACCTACACATATGCACACACATGTGCAAAGAAATTGCCAAGGAAAACTAAAGTTGGCTGGCAAGATGGCTCAGCAGGTAAAGGCACTTACTGCAGCAGCCTGACACCTGCATTCCAGTCCCAGTACCCTCTAAAGGCCGGAGAGAACTCCACCAAACTGTCCTCTGACCACACGACTCACATGCCACACACATGCACACACAATGATTGCTTTAACTTCTAGAGGTGACCCATGTCTCTGAAAGCAGATGTCTTGAGTTTCTTTAGGAAGTGGAGAGCAAGGACTAGAGAGATGGCTTATCGGGTAAGGAAGGCACTTGCCACCATGCCTGATGTCCTGAGTTCAGTCCCCCAAACACACATGGTGGAAGGAAAAGCCTAACTTCCCAACCTCTATACGTGTGTTGTGTTGTGTACTCACCTGGACACATACACGTACACACAAAGAAATAAATAGAAATTTTAAAATGGAAATGTTGAACAGGGCCATTGTTCATTGATTATTTCTTCAATTTTTAAAAATGTTTTTGGTTTCTAAAACTATTGAATTATTTGTAACTTTTTATTTCCTGCCATATTTTTCCCAGAGTCCTGCCACGTTTTTCCCAGAGTGTAGCCTGATTTTTTTGTTGTTTTGGTTTTTTGTTTTTTGTTTCTCGGGACAGGATTTCACTGTGTTGTATATCCCTGGCTGTCCTGGATCTCACTCTTTAGACCAGGCTGACCTGTGGATTCACAGAGATCCACTTGCGTCTACCTCCCAAGCGCTGGGATTAAAGGCATGTCCCACCACTGCCTGGCTGCCTGCTTCTTATAAAGATAAACATGGATAAAGTTTATCTAAGGGCATCTTCTCTGTAAAAATTAGGGTTTTTTTTAATTTGACACAGCCTTGTAATCTGTCCACTTCAGACTAAAGCTGAAGAATAACAAGTTCAAAGACTCTTTGGGTTAAGAACTAGGTCAAGGCCAGCCTGAGAAACCTGGACTCTGTTTCAGTGTGCCAGGGCTGCGGCTCTGCCCGAGGCCCTGGATTAAATTCCCTGTGTGAGGGGCTGGGTGATTGAAACCAGGGACTTGTGCTCATCTCAGAAGACAATTGAGCAGAATCCAGACTGAATGTTTCAGAGGCAGCCACAGTGTTGAGAGAGTTTCTAATTTCATAGTCTAGTCTGAAGCCACGCTGGGCTTTTAACTTTGGCAGACACTTGAGCCCTGCACTCAGGGACCTCTAATCACTTACACTCCTCACTTTTTGGACCATGGCCACTTCACTGAGGCCACCCAATTCCCCATCCATAATCCTGACAGGCCATTCACACTTGTCTGTGTCCCAGAAGGCAAGAATTTCTAGGGGCTCTTTCTTTTTAAGAGGAGCTTGCAAGCATAGGCAAGGAAGCTATGCTTCTGTGGAAGTGTGGCTCTGCTGATACAAAGATGTGGGGTTGGTTTACATAGCAAAAGATGTATTGATTTTATCTCAAAGCTAGATAAAGTTTTTAATAGAATTGGCAAAGTAGTGTGATTTATGTCTGATCTTTCACATTTAACAGTTGCTTGGAAACGATGCTAATTAATGAAGAGGACCGGCTACTATTGGTGTATTTTCCACAGTTCCGTGCTTTCTTAAAAAAAAAAAAAATGAAAGTTAACTCCTAACACTGCATGAACTTGCTATTGGAAAGTAAGGATCTCCTGGTGCAGACACAGTTGGTTATGGACTTAAACCTTGGCAAAGGAGGGCAGCTGGTCAGAGCATACGTTCTGTCAAAGAGTAGGCAGTTGATACGGTGACATGGATGGTGCCATACAGCGGGGAAGGACCGGGCCAGCACGGATACGTTTACTTGTATTTAAATTGCCAGCCCCACACTTTCTTGCTGATCTCTTAACCTTGAAGCAGCATTCTTGTGAAAAGTGGAAAGAGTACTCAGGGCCTCCAAGTGACTACCAGATAGGCTAGCCCATTAAAGCCAGCATCACCGACAAAGCCAATTGAGAGAAAGGCCAGACACACCAATCCTGACAGAAAAAGGACTGATCACCAAAGAGAAGCAAGTGTGCCTCGTGGAACGCCCCTTCATGTGAAGATGCTAACACAGTCCAATAGGTTGCCAGTTTTCTGTGATATATTAATTTAGCAAACTTGCCATGGATTGGTTCCCTCCTATTTTTTTTTAAAGATATGCTTGAAAGTACTTGGAATATCAAGAGTGCTATGCAATAAAAAATTTTATCCTGATTTTTCTTGTTGGCTCTTTGGAAAGCATTAGGCACTGGGCTTTCTCGGCTGAGCTCACGCGGTGTCTCGCTCTTGGGAGAGCATTAGGTGCTGGGACTTTTCTCGAGCTGAGCTCACTCTGTCTTGCTTTGCACCGCAACTCTAGTCTCTTTGTGCTGCTTCCGTGGCGTCTCCTGTCACTTTCCCCATTTGCAGACTGCTCAGGGATCATGTGAAGAGAGCCCTAGTTAACACTCTGAGCCTCTTCCTTGAAGCAGAGTACAGCTTGTCCGCAGATGTTTGGGCCCTACGATAGTCCAGAGTACAGCTTGTCCACAGATGGTAGACTTCAGTTTCTCATGAGCCTGTGCGATGCAAACAGTGGGTTACTCCAGAGGGAAGAGGTGTCACTTCACTTGCAGCCCAGCTAGCTTTACTGTTCGCATGAAGTCGGTATTGTGTTCATGTACTTGGTGTTTGCTTTGTCTGCTTACTGTGCAAAAACACAGGCCCACTGCCTAACATTTCTTTCAGCTTCAAACACTCCAGAGTGAGAATTCAAGCCTCAGGAAGCAGGCCACAACCAATGCCTGTCAGGTGCAGACTGGCCCTGATTACCCAGACACTTCCAGCCACTCGTCCTTAAAGCGCCGGCCGTCTGCCAGGGGCAGTAGGCCCATGTCCATGTATGAGACTGGATCAGGTCAGAAACCATACCTCCCAATGGGGGAAGCAAACCGCCCTGAGGAGAACAGGACAAGGCTTCAACCCTTTCCTGCTCATGTAAGTAATGCCACTATGTATCTGTCCCTACTGTGTGCTCTGACTGTGTGTTCATCTCCTGACCATGCAGCTCTCAGGCTCTGAGAGGTGCCCTTGTGTTTGCTGCGTGGACATGTCTGCAACTGCTCCCAGTGTGACCATGAACACGTGTGGACTGAAGGGTCTGGGCTGAACTGGACATTCTGGTGCTTGCTCAGCCCTTCAGTTCCTCTCTTCCCATGATGGACTTCCCAGACAGCCTGCCTCTGTTGGCATTTGTGTGTGTGTGTGTGTGTGTGTAAAGCTTCCTTCCTGAGTTCCACAAACAAAAGCCAATTGTAAAGGTCACTGGCAGAAATGTCTTTGTCTTCAAAATAGGCAGAGGTTGGGGTTGGAGGCATGGCTCAATGGTTAGAGCACTGGCTGCTCTTAAAGAGGACCTGGGTTCATTTCCAAGCACCCACAAGGCAACTCACAACCAGCTATAACTCCAGTTTCAGGAGATTTGACACCTTCCAGCCTCCAGTGGCACTGCATGCACCTGATACACGCACATGCTGGCAGAACACTCCTACATAAAACAAACACAGCGGAGGAGTCAGAGGCATGCCCTTCTGTGAACTGTAGTGCTTAGGACCAAAGATGCTCTTTTGGGCCCTGCGACCTGATCCATGGAGCTGAGAGACTCTGGGCTTCAGCATAGGCTGTTAGCATGGCTTGGTCATTTCATAGAGATGCAGTGTAAGCAGCAATTATAGCAGTGCTCAGCAAGCTGAAGCAGGGGGATTACCAGACTGTATGAAGAGATCTTCTCTCCAATCAGACTTTAAAGAATACAAGGCTGTAGATAATAGAAACTGTGCCCACCACCGGTGCAGTGCCAATTCCGGAGACTGTCCTGTGGCAGATTCTTATGGTCTGCGGAGCTCGCAGGTTGGGGTGCAGTTTTCAGACATTAAAATGCTGTCTTCTGGATTGGTTTATTATGAAGATGTCTGTTTTCACAGGATACCACAAGCACACACTGCCTTATGTGGTTATTTTTTCAGAGTGTCATATTTATCCTTATAAGTGTCAAAGTTAATTCTTCAAATTACATAGAGAATTTCAATAAAATTTTTAGGGGAATGAAAAGCAAATGATAAAATCTTAATAAATTAGCCAGGTGGTGGTGGCAGCACACACCTTTAATCCCAGCACTTGGGAGGCAGAGGCAGACGGATCTTAGTGAGTTCGAGGCCAGCCTGGTCTACAGAGTGAGTTCCAGGACAACCAGGATGATTAAACAGAGAAACCGTGCCTCAAAAAAAAAAAAAAATCTAATAAACTGATTTCCATTTTGTCAACTTCAGAGTGGTAAAACTGAAGTATTGTATGTAACCAGGAGTCCGTTTCTCAACTTCCCTTTGTTTGGTTTAATGCTTGAAGACAATGTATTTGCATATAAACTAAATGAAAAAGAATCTTATTTTTTATATAGCTGAAAACAAAACTTAGGAAAACCCACTTAGTAACTTGCAAAGTGTACTAGATTTTAGAGGGAATTAGGGTGTGCGGCTGTTGTCCTTTATCTGTAGCACTGGAGGCTGGAGTGATGGTGTGCACGAATTTAGTCCTCCATGGCCCTAACATCTTATTGTCCCTCTTGACTGGAGAACAAGCATCATTGCAGACTATGCATTAAGAACAAGTGCTGCCAACTTTGACAGCTACACCAAGCATAGCTATGATAGCTATGGTATCCTTTCCCTTAAGGAGAAGTAGCCTCTTAAATGGAGAGTGGTTTCCAGCAGGCACTAGCGTCACCGAGGATTAAGCCTCTCAGGAGCTGTGTCACAGCTGTCATCAAGCTCATGGGACTCTTGTTTGATGAGCTGTAGGGCGGGAGATGGGCGTTTATTTGTTTTGTATTTTCCCAAGCTTGTTTCTTTCTCCACTTCCAGATTGGGAGGAGTGCACTTGTGACCTCCTCTTCGTCTCTGCCTTCCTTCCCCTCTACACTTTCCTGGTCCAGGGACGAAAGCGCCCGAAGGGTTAAGTACACTCTGAATGGTCTGCCCTGGAGGAGGGGCAGTGCTCCTGGGCGCTTTGTGCTTGGGAGCTGGCCCTACTGTCCCTTCCCCTTGCTAACTCCCCTCTGCCCTGCATGAAACAGCGCTTGGCTCCTGGTTTCTCACAGCAGCAGGCACCTGCACCCATGCACTTCTGTTCCTGGAGAGACTCAGCCTCCCTCCGTGTAACTCCACATTTTTCCTTTTCACCATTTAACCAATTTCACAAACCAGCCTGCAGCATTCATTCTAAGCATACTGTCTTGTTAAACAAACAGAACATTTAGCCGGCTGCTGGTTAAATATAACAGGGCAAATCTGTCCAGTTTTGAGCAACAGTTACTAAAAGTATTGGATTGCATTTGGGTTAACACGAAAGTGTCATGCCTTTGTTGTTGTTGTTGCTTTTAAACTACTGACTTACTCTATGTTAGCACCATCTTAGCTGACAAACCCAACCCTCAGTCGGTGCTCTCATGCCTGCTAGCAGTATAGAGGTGAGGTGGCTGCAGACTTAAAGCTGTCTGCTTGTACTGGTTGGGCAGACCCCTCTGCTGGTGTGTACCTCACACTCTGAAGTACGTGGTCAAGCTCCTCTAGAGGGGTCCCTTCCCCCATTCACACTCTTAGAAAAGGAAGCTAAAAGGTGCAATGGGTTTAAGTTCCTGTTCCCAAAGGACCATCATGTAGAAAGGAAAATACTTTCCCAGGCACAGAGAGCATAGCATGATGGCTTCCTCTTGAGCCTGAGTGCTGGAGACCTGCCCTTCAGATTCCAGCTCAGTGTGTCTATAGCAAGGGCAAGAAGAGGTAAGAGGACTGAGAGCAGCAGAGCAAGCCTTTGTGGACCCCCTCCATCCCTCAGAGTGATCTCTTGAGTTTCCTCACAGCCCTTTCGAAGCAAGGAAGTCAAATGAATTCTTGCTCTTTGATACTTGCAGTCCTCAAAGTGTACTTAGTGGTTTTGTTTCAACAACCCAGTTAAAGAACAGCAAAAATAACAATGAAATCCCCCCATTTTGTTAATAATTTTGGTAATGAGAGTCAAGTAGGCCCTTCTTTTCCACCGTAAAATTTTGTAGTTCTTAAAATTTCTGGAGTTTGGGAGCCTTGAAAAGCACCAGTTGCTGAATGACTTTGTGCACAGTGATGAATGGGGTCCTTCAGCTCATCCGAGCTCCTGGCAGCTTTGTCGTGGGCTTAGGTTCTGTGGTCTGTCTGTGCAGAGAAAATAGCAAGTTGTTAAAGAACCGAAGCAACACCAGCTATAAGGTGACTTTTCTATTAACAGCTCTGAGAGCAGCACTTAACAGCCCTGGCTCTGCATGTTCACAATAATTTTCATAAACTTAAATGCTGGCTACATTGAAATCCTGTATGCTTTTTTGACGACGGAGGAGGACTTAGTGCGTAAGTAATTGACCCTGGGTGACTGTCCTCTGCACTTGAAGAGCGTTTCCTGAGCACTGGCAGTGGGTGTGTGGCTCACTCTTCTGAAATTTTAAACAGAGCGTGGCACTTTTGATCGTTATGGGTAATGTATTCAGTTTCTGACTATCACCTTGACATCAGGGAAAGCAAAATCATCTGTTAGAGAGATATGGGATTCCAGGAGGTAAGAGGATTGCAGGTTTAAAGCAGACCTGGGCTACATAGCAGGTCTCTGTCTCAAAATCCAAAATAGCAGGCCCAGAGGATATTAATCCTGTCTTCTAGATTTTTCCTCCCATGGGAGCAACTCTGAATATACTGTCCAGCATAATTATGGAGTTTGTGTGTGTGTGTTTGTATATATGTTTGTGTGTGTACATATGTATTTGGTGTGTGCATATATGTTTGAAAATGTTTTAAAAAAATAAAGATTAGTCAGACATTTCCTGTAAAAGGTAGCAAAGATCTTAGGAGTTAGAGTTCTGAGATCAGGCCCACAAGATTCATCTTTCACTTCCCTGTCCTAAATGTGGTACCCCCTCTGTCCGCCATCCAGGCTTCTAATGTTGGTAAGACACTGACTTAAGCCAGATTAAAATCTGCAGCAGTGAACAGGAGCTTAAAAATTTAGCTTTAATATCACAAGGTCCCAAGCCAACACTTAGTCATTTACCAGATGAATTGGAGTGGACAAGAAAGTTCATATTAAGAAGCCAACCCTAAACTGGGCAGTAGTAGCACATGCCTTTAATCCTAGCATGCAAGAGGCAAAGGCAGGCAGATCTCTGTGAGTTTGAGCCAGCCTGGTCTATAGAGCTAGTTGCAGAACAGCCAGGGCTATACAGAGAAACCTTGTCTCAAAAAACAACAATAAAAAAAAAAAGTCAACCTTAATGTCTTCTGGTGCAGGAGTGGGGACATCCAAGAGGAAATATAAAGGACCTCAGCAGACAGACAGACAGAGAAGGCAGAGTGTGACAGGACTGAGGAGCACCCCACCTTGGAGCTGTCCAAACCACAGACCTTAGGCAGACTTCCTCAAACCAGTTTCCTCTAGCAGCCACTTTTTTCTGGATGAGACTACACTGTCTCGTGTGTCTAAGCCTTTACAGCTGTAGCCTTTGCCACACGCTCCCGCACCAGCTCAGCCCCCTGGCTGTGCATGGCTAGAAGCAGGCAACCAGTAATTGGTGTAGATTTTACAATGGTTTATGCTCATTTCTACATAAGGGGTTGTCACATGTGAGAAGATGAGCACCGAGAGATGGTCTCTCCTCCAGGTGTGGTCCTTGCCACAGCTTGTCGCACTGAGAGGCCCTGCCTTTAATGGCACTGCCATTCTCTTGCAATGTTTTTAGGGATTCCTGCTTTGAATCTACAGCCCATTTTGAACCTTCAGTTATACTGAATCTCTGCATCTTCAGAGGTAAATGTTTTGGGAAACAAGTAAGAGTCTGGCTAGCTTTCTTAAGGGCTCATAAAAGCATCCCTGAAGGCAGTTCTTAGCAGCAGTCATCCAGACTTCCCGAACCTGTGTAATGTGGGGATCTAGAGAAGGCTTGAGATCTCCTGCAGACAGACTCTGCCTGAAGCTGAACAGCTAGCTCTGCTCCTCAGTTAATTCTAGCTCTGAGGTGTGTCTTCAGACAAGTGCTGGTGTGTTCGTTATTAATTGCATCTCATTCCATTGGGTTGAGAACTAAATGAGAGGTTGCATGTGTGCCTCTGTCAGCGTGTGTGTCTGTTCAGGGAGCCTCTGGTGAGCTAAGGAGAAATGGACCCAGTGTTCACTTACCTCTTGATGCCTTTCCACTAAAGGGCTGGCTGCTGTCCCAACTGGGTTCTGGGTATGAAGGTAACACCCTGACAGGAATGCTTCCATGGGAAGACTGAGGAAGGATCTAATGCTCAAAACTAATGGGGTCTCCTTTCTCTTGTAGACATCCAGACTGGAGAAGCAGAACAGCACACCGGAGAGTGACTATGACAACACTCCCTTTGACACTGAGCCAGAAGACACAGTGTATGTGTGAGAGCACAGGGAGGGGCTGTTAGCACAGAGCTGCTTTAGTTTCCTGATGTCATAATTGTATGTCTTCTGTACTCATATTGCCGCCTCAGCACGTGAGCCCTGTGCCAGCGTGCTGTACCTTCCCGTGGGTCCGCAGTATCTGCTGCACTGCACCAGTGCTGTACCACCGTGCGATGTCAGCTACAGTCTGAAGCTGTTGTTGCCTGGGGATGGTTGTTTAGCAGCCCCGACTCCAGCCCAGGACAAAAGGAAAGGCCTTAGAGTGGCTGTAGGCGCTGGTGATAAGCAGGGCTTGCCGTGACTCCTGGTAAATAGGAGGAAGGAAACCCGGAAAGAGCTGATGAGCACTTGTCCTGCTTAGTTATTCTTCCCTGTTCACAGGTCAAACCGAAAGGGACGGCAAAGGAGTATGGTGTGGCAGGGGGATGGCTCATTGCCAGACATAGCAGAACCCCACTTGGTCCCCAGCCCCACATTCCCCAGCACAGAAGATGTCATCCGGAAGACTGAACAGATCACCAAAAACATCCAGGAGCTCCTGAGAGCAGCACAGGAGAACAAACATGACAGGTATGAGCTGCGGCTGAACTAAATGTGCCCCTGTGCCAGCAGGGGCTGCGTGAGCTCCATTCTGACTTCAGGGTGGATGGAAACTTAAGTACAATGTGGATGTCTTGAGTTAGGGGTTTTTAGGATGGTGTTTTTATTTTCATCACGTCACAAAGTAATCTGAAAACAAACCATCTAGAAATAAAACTGCAGTGTACAGGACAGGAGAGGAAACCACCTCACAACTTGAAGGTGGTTCTTCCGGCCACTGCTGCCGCTAGGATTTCCCTTGGAAACTAAGTTTCCAGACAGAAGGCATCCTGAGGGAGGCCGCTCTGGAGCAGTCTGGCTCCCCTGTGCACACACAGATGTACGTGTTAACTTGGCAAGAGGAGGCTGTGCCTTTTTCCCGCATAGAGCAGGGTGCCCACAGCTTCCCACAGCTTTGCCTGACAGAGATAAGGGATTTCATATGAGAACCACTCCTGGAGGGAGTGCTTCCATTCTGTGGGGTGCTCTGTATGTGATCCTTTACACAGTTAATATATGGCTGGGGTTTCAGGCTGCCCTTGCTCTCACGCCTCTCTGGTGGTTGTCAGAAATAGGTGCCCTGAGCGTGTACTTCAAAGATTGCAGTATGCTGTTTGCTTCAGTTCAGGAAGGTTTGTTACGGAGATGTGAATTCAGCATCTTTTATGATTGACCCTCCTCTCCTTTGAAGACCAGAGAGAAAATGATGGTTTCAAAATCATTGACTTAGGCTTCTGACTTAAAGCTAGAGTGGCTTAGGGATTTACCTTTTCTTAATTACTTGGTGTTCTGTGCTCTGAGTACTTGGTGCTGCGCTGATGACAGCCTCACCTTTATCCCTCAAGTTTACCTGGGGGGGCTGCACCTCCACACCTCCATCTTGCTTCTAGTGGCCTGAAGCAAGTTCCCCTTACCTCCTCCCCCACCCCCAGCTCTTCTTCAGCTTCACTTACTTGTGGTCATGTTTCTGTACACACACTCACTAATATAAAATTAGAAATAGAGACAGCTTTTGATAGTCTTTAGTCAGAAGTCAGTTTTATGGTTTTGAAAACGCAAGGAAAGAATATTACTTGAGGCCTTGAGTCTGTGGTGGTTACAGTGGTTACAAACAGCTTTGTCAGGCCAAACCTACAGCAGTCGTGGCTGTGTTTCTTTGCAGAAAATGCCTCCAAATGTACTTTCTTAGTGCCCATGTCCCTCCAAGACAGTGGGGAAGTCAGGCACACATAGCCAAGGCTTGGTGGCAATGTTGTATTAAGAACCGTCACTCAGTACCTCATCAGTTTGTGTTTGTCCCTCTACACCTGGTAGCACATAGCCTCGGGTACACTACAGTGAGTCGCCCCATGTGCTCCGTCCTGCATAAAGCCGGGGCTTGCTTCTTCCCTTCCTCTTCACGAGTCAGACCACCATGGCTGTTTATGAATGCGAATGTGACGCATCACCTCCTGCTGCTGAGCATCCTAACGAGAGGAACTGTGCGCGTTCATGGCCAAGCAGATAGCACGTAGTGAAGTGCAGACACCAGTTAAATTTAAGGATTTTTTTCAGTCCTTTATTCTTCACCTCTATGGGCCTTGGCATGGGACCATTGCTCCTCTCTCTAGAAATCTGGAAGATAGCTGTGAGAAGTAAGGGAGCAGGCTGGGCATGTGTGCTTGTCTTCATCTCTGTTGCCCAGAGCACACAGTGCAGATTTCAGGCCTGGGGACTGTTACCAGGGTGGATGTGTGTTCCTGAAAGGAGAGGGACCTGCTTTGTAGCAGCGTGCGCGCCTGCTGTTTGGGTGCACACAGCCAGCCACAGCTTAAGCCCTTCACTAATGAGTGGAAATGGAACCCACCTGACCCTGAGCACTGTGCACCTCTAACCATGATCTCTTCACTGTCTTACAGCTACATTCCCTGCTCAGAGAGAATACATGTTGCTGTTACCGAGATGGCAGCCTTGTTCCCCAAAGTAAGTCACTTCCTACTCGCTCCCTTCCAGTCAGTTTCTCAGAATGGCTTCCTGACCTTATATTGTCTTTGTGAGGAGCAGGGTGCCAGGATAAGACCCAGGACCCTGTGCATACTAGGCAAACCGTCATCTTTTTCTTACATTTTGTAGCACATGGTTTTTAAATACATCATCTTGTAGGGCTTTAAGATGCTTTCACTATGCATGAATATCGGTTTTAGTAAGACATGTGTATGTAAGTCAGGTGCCGTGAGGCAAAGCAATGGAAGAAAGTTTAGAATAAATAATAAAGATTATTTTTTTTACATACCTTAAAATAGCACATACTACTAAAATTCTTCTCAAATGTAAGCATTTGCTTACTCCTTAGGCCATGATTTGCAAAGCTAGTAATGTTTAAAATACCCAACTGTAAAACGTTGGGACTTTACAATAAACTGCGGTTGCTCTCAGGAGCAGGCGTACCCCTCACTGCTGGATGGCCACCCTGCGGCCCACAGCAAACAGCTTTACTCTTCGTTTTAGAAACCCAAGTCTGACACGGTGAGGACTTCCCTCCGGTTACTGACATCCAGTGCCTACCGGCTTCAGTCGGAGTGCAGAAAGGCCCTCCCAGGAGACTCGAGCTTGCCCGCGGATGTGCAGTTGGTCACACAGCAGGTCATCCAGTGTGCCTATGACATCGCCAAGGCGGCCAAACAGCTGGTCACAATCACCACCAAAGAGAACAACAGCTGAACTGCAGGGCGCTGTCCTACTTTCTAGCTCCTGAGAGTCCTGCTTTGCTTAGACATGAACTCTTCAGATTTTTACAAAAGCATTTAATGATGATTTGAAACTTTTTTAAAAAAAAATCTCAGTATTATTTTTGCATGTTTTCTAACAGATTTTTGACTGTGATTTAACCATTGCCTTATGTGTGCTTGTATGCAGCTTAGCTCCTGTCCTGTTGTGTTGTCACCAAGTGCTTAGGTCATGATCCGATGTGTTTAAACGCCATTGTTCCAAGTTTGCGACAACTTCCAGCCCCTAAAACTCTCTACCCATGACAAAAACTATAATTGATATTTTTAGTAAACATTTTCTTAAGAGAGTTGGATTTTAAAAAAAAAAAAAAAAAAAACCAATGTTATCTGTTTCTTCCAAGCATCGTGCAATAAGTAGACTTTTACATCCTGCCGCAGAGGCTCAGAACTTGGGGTATCTCTAGGCATGAGAGAGCGGGTCCTTGCCCCTTCCTAAGGGAAGTGCATCTCTAGGCGGGGGGACAAGGAAATGACCCATTTCTAACTTCTGTATCATGTTAAGTGTTGTGTTATTTAATATTTTTATCTTGGTTTTCTATCTATAAAGATTTTACCGTCATGCTGAAGTCTTCATAATGTCCAAATAGTATTTAAAAATTCCCCTCTACATCAGGTTCCAGTTGGCCACATTCAGAGCAAGAGCACCCCTTGTCAGGGACCTACCTTCCCCCCAAACCAGACAATTCACTCAGAACTTAGGGCAGGCAGAAAGAACCTGGGTCTGTTCTCGCGGCGGACATTCCTGCAAGGGGCAGGTGCTGGCATTCCTGCAAGGGGCAGACATCGCAGTGCCCTTCATCCTTTGACCCTCACAGCTTCACATGTCTCCTCCTGAAGGATTTCTTCCCAGGTAAGACATAATGGCTCAGTGTCTTCCCTTCCCCTATGGCACTGCAGGGCTAGTCCTCCGCGCTCTGCTAACTGCAGCTCTCCCGTAGGTCCGTAAGCACAGAACTTGACGTCTAGGCCGTGGCAGCACTGGTGTTTACTTCAGGCTCTTCCTTGTTGTGGATGTTGCAGTCCATCCCCTTCCCAGCTTACCACATCTCTTTGGCAGTCATGGCTATGAAGCCAGCCAGGTATACAGCAGGACACAGCCAGGGCATAGGGCAGCTGGGGAGCCCTGCCCAGCCTGCAAGGACAGCAACCTGTATTGCTAACGCTTTGGTTTTTCAGGATAACAGGAATTCGAGTTATTTTATGCCATTTTTCTAGGTGAAATGTGGACAGTCAATCCAGACATGCCCACTGAACAAGCAGAAGTGAGCTGTGGCCTCTAGGCTACCTCTTCATAGCCTCTGCTGTGGTCTGTAAACTGCAACATGAGGACTGACTTTGCTGGCCGCCAGCATAGCCTCTGAGCCAACTCTGGAAGGCAGTGATGACCTGCTATGAGGTCACTGTCAGTCTCCTCCCCCGTGTGTTCTCTGGGAGTGCCACCATGGTCAGGTTCTGCAGGTCATGTGTGCATTGCATGCATGGGAAAGGACCAGCACTCCAGAACCTGTCCGTAGAACCCAAAATGCCACATCACTGCTGGATGCCCAGGAGTGCCTTTCAGAAAGGGGCCTGCCAGCTTAAGCTCGGGCGCTGCCTTGGACAAACTTGTCTGCATACTGCAAGGACTCTACTGCCCTTCCTGGCAGGCTCTCAGAGCTGGTTCCCATCCTGAGCTGGTTCCCATGATCCCCAGGGAGGATAGGCCTCTGTTGGAAGCTTCTCAGAAGAGAATTGTTAGAGTCAAGGACCTGCCACAGAGGACACTCTGTAGAAAATGAAGGAACGTGGGGCCAGTCCAGCGTTGCCAGCTGCTGTCAAGAGCACCAGAATCCAGACAATCCTGAGTCCTCCTCAGGCTGAAGCTCCCAGGTGGAGGCCAAGGAGCCAGCAGGAGGTGCCCTGCCTGGAGCCCCCGAGACCTGGGGTCAGAAGATTCTACTCCCATAGGCAAATGCATCTTGTCTCAACGCTTGTCCTGGCTGGGTTTTGCTTGTGGGCCCCATTGCCTTGCACAGGTCAGCTCTGCATCCAATCCTGCTGTTCTGTTCCTTGTTCCCTTTTCTGCCTTCCTTCCTATGTATCCCACTTCCCGAGACAGAGAGGATGAAGGACCTGTTGATGAGCAGACCCTGCCCCACGCTCCATTTGGAGAAGACACCATGACGGTTCTTACTTGC